ATTAATATGTTATCTGTGAGATACTCTGGGGATGGATCGACACTGTAGAAATAATGCAGCTTGATAGCATTTTAACTGCTCAGTGCTATACAATCCTGGGATATGGAGTTCAGTGGGACACCAACATTATTAGGCAGAAAAAACTAAAGATTTCACAAAACTACAACTCCCAGGATCCCACAGCATTGAGACATGGCAGTTCAAGTCATCTCAAACTGCATTAATTTGACAGTGTAGATGCACCCCCACCCCTCCTGTGTGTGCTCATTCCTTGAAAAGTCAGATCTGGCTATGGTGGTACATGCCTTAGTTATATCGCATCTGGATTAACATGCTCTATGTGGGGCTGCCTCTGAAGAGTGCTCGGAAACATCATCCGGTCCAAAGAGCTGCAGCCAGGTTACTTGCTGATGGCTGGCTACAAGAAGCGGACTACCCCACTGTTGAAGTAGCTTCACTGCCTACAAGTCTGTTATCGGGCACAATTCAAACTGTTGGTTATGACCTTTAAAGCCCTAGACCGGTGGTTCTCAACCTATGGGTCCCCAGGTGTTTTGGCCTACTACTCCCAGAAATCACAGAAATCCCAGCCAGTTTACCAGCTCTTAGGATTTCTGGGAGCTGAAGGCGAAAACATCTGGGGACCCACAGGTTGAGAACCACTGCCCTACACAATTTAGGTCCAAGCTATTTGGCCGACCGCATCCCCTTGTACAAACTTGCTCAGGCCCTGAGATCTTCAGGAGAGGCCCTTCTTTTGGTCTCACCTTTATCTCAAGCTCAGTTGGTGGGAATGAGAGAATGGGCCTTCCTTCTCGGTGGCTACCCCTTAACTCTGGAACTTCTGCTCAAGGAAGCCAGAATAGCCCCCTCCCTGTTGTCCATCTGATGGCAGGCTAAAACCTTTTTTTAATTCAGGCACGCTTTTAAGGGTTTTTAAGTTTATCAGGAGCTGCTGCAATTTTATATGCTTTTAATGATGATTAATATCGTTTTAATATTTATATATTGTATATTTTAAGTTATATTACAATCCTTTTAGTTGTGAGTCGCTTTGAGTATACATACAGACAGAAAAAGTGGAATATATCTAAACATGACAATAATAACCAGAGTTGAGACGGAGGAGCTGGAGCAGAGTTTTCCAAACTGCACCTCTCAACACATGTGTGTGTCTGCTGCAGTGCATAGGTGTGTCAGGGCCCTTACACAAAGCCCTATATCCCAGAATATCAAGGCAGAAACCCCCATATTATCTGAGTGTGGACTCAGATAATCCAGTTCAAAGCAGGTATCGTGGGGTTTTCTGCCTTGATACTCTGGGATATAGGACTGTGTGGAAGGGCCCTCAGATGAGTGTAATGAGACATTTCGGAGGCTATGTGAAATAAGCAATAAATCATATGGGTTGTATGTTTTTTCGGGCTATATGGCCATGTTCTAGAAGCATTCTCTCCTGATGTTTTGCCTGCATCTACGGCAAGCATCCTCACAGGTTTTGAGGTCTGACCATATAACCCAAAAAACTACAACAACCCAGTGATTCCAGCCATGAATCCAGCCTTCAACAATAAATCGTATTTTATGAAAACATAAATGAAAGGTTTTCATGGGAAGTGTTGTCCTCCATAAATTTTGTTATTACAATTGATGTATCACATATAAGGGGGTTGTTTTAACCAGGCACATTTGTGTCTTCAGATTGCCCGTAAAACTGAAAGACCATGTCGCAAACTGATGTGTGTCAACAACATGACATTTTTTGAAGCTCTGACCTAGAGACTCAGAGGGTCCTTCCACAAAGATATATAACCCAGAATATCAAGGCAGGAAATCCCACAATATCTGCTTTGAACTGGGTTAGCTGCATCCACATTGTTCAAAGCAGATATTGTGGGATTTCCTACATAGGTATTCTGGGTTATATGGCTATGGAGAAGGGCCCATAGAGGGAATCTCTTTAATCAAATTGTCAAATCCACAGAGAGGGACGCTGGCAGAGCAGGACGAAGTGGGATCCACGGCAGATCCTGAGGCACTTTTCCTTCAAGTTATGTGTCTTCCCTCCCACACAAGTTTGGAATACTTTTGGTAGCAGAACAAGACAGCAAGTCCTGGCTGGCCTCATAAAGGCCCATTGTCCTCTTCGGGGGATCAACAGAGAGAGGCCTTGTTCTCGCCCCTGATGTGGAAAGTGTGGAGGGGGGTTGAGAAGGGTGCCCAACTGCCAACAAACAGCTCCCTCAGGATTGCCTTTCATTTACCACAGCCCGCTCGCTGGCTGCTTTTTGAGGTGGCTAGCTCTTTAGGCTGGGTCAAACCCAAGGGCCCTTCCACCCAGACATGTAACACCGAATATCAAGGCAGATAATCCACAATATCTGCATTGAACTGGGTTATCGGAGTCCACATAACCCAGTTCAATGTGGACTTTATGCAGTTGTCTGGAAGGGGCATAAGAGAAGCCCAAGAGGTCATTATGTCCTAGGCCAGGGGTCCTCAAACTAGGGCCTGCGGGCCAGATACGGCCCTCCAACGTGATTTACCCGGCCCTCACTCAAGGTCAACTTAAGTCTGAAATGACTTGAAAGCACACAACAAAAACAATCCTATCTCATCAGCCAAAAGCAGGCCCACACTTCCCCCACTGAAACACGAGTAAGTTTATATTTGCTAAAATTGTTCATTTTAATTAATGTATTGTTTTAAAGTGTTGTTTGCAGTGTGCACAGGAATTCATTAATTTTTTTCCCAATTATAATCCGGCCCACCAACAGTTTGAGGGACTGTGACCTGGCCCTCTGTTTAAAAAGTTTGAGGACTCCAGCCATAGACCCTCATGGCAGGGAGGGCCCCACAAGCGAGTGTTCACAGAAAGGGACCACAGTGTGTGGGCCCTTCCAGACAGCCATATAAACAGGAAGGTCAAGGCAGAAAATCCCACAATATCTGCTTTCAACTGGGGGCCCTTCTACACAGCCCTATATCCCAGAATATAAAAGCAGTTCACATTATCTCAATGTGAACTCGGATTACGCAGTTCAAAGCAGATACTGTGAGATTTTCTGCCTTGATATTCTGGGATATAGGGCTGTGTGGAAGGGCCCTGAGTCCACGCTCATATTATGTGTGGTTTTCTTCCTTGATATTCCGGGATATAGGGCTGTGTTGCAGGGCCCTGAGTCCACACTCAGACAATGTGGGGTTTTTTTGCCTTGATATTCCGGGATATAGGATTGTGTGGAAGGGCCCTGAGTGCACACTCAGATAATGTGGGGTTTTCTGCCTTGATATTCCGGGATATAGGGCTGCGTGGCAGGGCCCTGAGTGCACACTCAGATAATGTGGCATTTTCTGCCTTGATATTCCAGAATATAGGACTGTGTGGAATGGCCCTGAGTCCACGCTCAGATAATGTGGGATTTTCCGCCTTGATATTCTGGGATATAGGGCTGTGTGGAAGGGCCCTGTGTACACACTCAGATAATGTGGGATTTTCTGCCTTGATATTCTGGGATATAAGGCTGTGTGGAAGGGTCCCAAGTCCACACTCAGATAATGTGGGATTTCCTGCCTTGATATTCTGGGATATAGGGCTGTGTGGCAGGGCCCTGAGTCCACCCTCAGATAATGTGGGGTTTTCTGCCTTGATATTCCGGGATATAGTTTTGTGTGGAAGTGCCCTGAGTCCACGCTCAGATAATGTGGGGTTTTCTGCCTTGATATTCTGGGATATAGGGCTGTGTGGATGGGTGCTCAGATAATGTGGGGTTTTCTGCCTTCATATTCTGGGATATAGGGCTGTGTGGATGGGCGCTCAGATAATGTGGGGTTTTCTGCCTTCATATTCTGGGATATAGGGCTGTGTGGAAGGAGGGCCCTCAGATAATGTGGGGTTTTCAAACTTGATATTCTGAGATATAGGGCTGTGTGGAAGAAGGTCCCTCAGATAATGTGGGCAGAAAATCCACATTATCTGAGTGTGCACTCAGGGCCTTCCACACAGCCCTATATAGGAATATCAAGGCAGAAAATCCCACATTATCTGAGTGTGCACTCAGGGCCCTTCCACACAGCCCTATATCCCAGAATATCAAGGCAGATATAGGGCTTGATGTTCTGGGATATAGGGCTTGATATTCTGGGATATAAGGCTTGATTTTCTGGTATATAGGGCTTTATATTCTGAGATATAGGGCTGTGTGGTAGGGCCCTGTGTCCACACTCAGATCATGTGGGGGTTTTGATATTCTGGGAAATAGAGATGTGTGGAAGGCTCTGAGTCCACGCTCAGATCATGTGGGGTTTTCTGCCTTGATGTTCTGGGATATAGGGCTGTGTGTCAGGACCCTGGGTTATTCACACTGCCATATAGCCCAGTTCAATGTGGGATTTTATACAGCTGTGTGGAAGGGGCCGAAGAAACGGGTTCCTACGTGCCTGTGGGCGGGCACCAAAGGAGGTTTGCTTGTTTAACGGTCTCATGGGGAGGCAGCACTGGCCACTGAGGCGCAACAAGCGTCATGATGTCCTCAGGCTACTTCAAAGAACAGGGCAAGAGTCCAATGAGGGCATGGAAAGAGAGGGAGAAAAGGGCGGGAGAGGCGAGAGGAGGAAGGGGACGCCTCCTTTGGTTGCTATGGGCAACAGTGGGAGGGGGAAGGGAGGGGGAAGGGAGGGGGGAGGAGGAGGCAAAGCGAGGCTCTTCGAACGCGATGCCCGAGCGCGCGCGCCCTCCCTCGTTCGCTCGCTCGCGCTCGAGCTTCCCCTCCGGCTATAAACAAAAGCGGTTAGAGTAGAATGCGCGCGCAGGAAAGGGAAGGAGGGGGGAAGCAGCGCGCGAGCGCTCGAGCTTTACTCACTCAGTCGCGCGCGTGCCCCCCTTCCTCCCTCAGCGTTACATTTCCGTTGGGACTGAGGCGCAAGTTTTTCAGGCTCCCCTCACGCGTTCTCTTTCTCTCTCTCTGTGAATGGCGCTTCAGTATGCAAGGCTGACTGACCTCCTGTCCCTGCGGCTGGTGCTGCTCTTCCTCCTTCTTCTCTCTCTCCCTCCTCCTTGGTGGATGGGATTCCTCCTCCGCCGCCCTAGAAGCCCTTCATGCCGGCAGCCGCTTGCTCCGCGGCCCCTTTAAGGACTTTTCCTTCCCCGACGCGCGACTCCACTCCCTGCCGGCGCCTCGCTGACTCTCTCTCTCTCTCCAGCTAACTCGGCACCCCAGCGCCTTCTTCTTCTTCTTCCCGCCTCGTCCCCTTCCCCATTGGCATGTCTCTCTCAAACAGGAACAACCATCCCGGACGCCCATTCGTCCACATAGACGCCACTCTTTTTTCTCCGCCCGCATGCTTAGTTTTGACTGGCTTTCGCAGCGGTGAAGGCCCGCCCTTGGAACGATGCTCAAACGCCTCCTCCAATCGCTGCCTCGCACTGGTCAAGGCTCTGCTCTGATTGGCCCTCGCGTGTCGCTTCCTCTCCCAGTGAGTAGTCAAGATGGAAGTCACTCCTCAGCCCCAGCAAGGCTGTCCTCTGGAAGGCTGAGTAGACTGGGCGGGACTGCCCAGCTGGGGAGCGTGGGTTTACAAAGGAGAGAGGCGCCTGGCCCTTTAAATCGTGCCTTAGCCATTGAGGACTGTCGCAAAAAGACTACACTGCTCCTCTTTTGAATAGGAGCAAAAAAACTGAATTCCTTGCTAACGGGGATTTCTATTCTGCCTTTGGCGTTTACTTGGAGGGTTTATTTATCGTGTCAGGAGCAGATCAAACAGTTGTACTGTATTTTTTTAAACAAACAAACAAAAAACACAAAGTTTGCAAACTTGGTAGTTGATTAAATGTCCTTTGACCAGTATCTGGCCACTTGGAGTGCCTCTGGTGTTACTATAAGAAGGTCCTCCATTGTGCATGTAGCAGGGCTCAGGTTGCATTGCAGCAGGTGGTCTGTGGTTTGCTCTTCTCCACACTCGCATGTCGTGGATTCCACTTTGTAGCCCCATTTCTTAAGGTTGGCTCTGCATCTCGTGGTGCCAGAGCGCAGTCTGTTCAGCGCCTTCCAAGTCGCCCAGTTTTCTGTGTGCCCAGGGGGAGTCTCTCATTTGGTATCAGCCATTGGTTGAAGTTCTGGGATTGAGCCTGCCACTTTTGGACTCTCGCTTGCTGAGGTGTTCCAGCGAGTGTCTCTGTAGATCTTAGAAAACTATTTCTAGATTTAAGTCGTTGACGTGCTGGCTGATACCCAAACAGGAGATGGGCTGGAGATGTCACTGCCTTGGTCCTTTCACTATTGGCTGCTACTTCCCGGCGGATGTCAGGTGATACAATACCGGCTAGACAGTGTAATTTCTCCAGTGGTGTAGGGCGCAGACACTCCATGATAATACGGCACAAAGGACTACCACCTCACCCACCTCATAGGAAATCTGCTACAAAACAGGAGCTTTTTTGTTGAGTGCCAGGGCCAAAGAAGTAGATGGTGAAAACAGAAGAATGGCCTGTCTCAGGGGAGTATGCTTGCTTTATCCATGTTCAACATTTACACAAATGACCAGCCACTGCCAGAAGAGACAGAGAGTTTCATTTATGCTGATGATCGTGCAATCACCGCTCAAGCAGGGAGCTTTGAGATGGTTGAACAGAAGCTCTCCGAAGCTCTAGGCACTCTTACTGCCTATTGCAGGGAAAACCAGCTGATCCCTAACCCATCTAAAACACAGACATGTGCTTTTCACCTTAAAAACAGACAAGAATCCGGAGCTCTGAGGCAACTTCATTCTCCAGAAGTCCCAGTACTGTCTTTATCCCTAGGTAAGGATACATAGGTTTGCAACATGAAGGTACCATTTATTATGGATACTTTATGGGAACTCAGTCCTTGGTCTTTTTATCTGAGATATCGCTTTTTTAGGAAGGTCTTGGCCTCCTAGCATGCATCAATGGTCAACCTTTGTCAGAAGCTGATCACAGAATCACATTTGAAGACCCAGGGCCCTTCTACACTGCTATATAAAATCCAGATTATCTGCTCTGAACTGGATTATATGGCAGTATAGATTCATATAATCCAGTTCAAGGCAGATAACCTGGTATCAGATTCTGAAATATAAGGCAGTGTAGATCCAACCCTAGTGGCTCCTATAGAGGTGGGTTTTTTTTCTTGGAATCTCTGGTTCTTCCAGTGACTATTGGTTAACTTCTGGTGGAAGTTTACCATAGAGCCATACCAGAGGACCTAGGCATTCCTACAGAAAACATTTTAATAAAAAAACCTACATTTTAATCAAATCTGCAAAAGTCAGTATTGGACGGCCAACTACTGTATTTCTTCTGTTGTAAAATGCCATCGAATGTAAGACACACCCTAGTTTCAGTGCCACCATACCATTACCACCACCACCAAAAATAGATAAAGATACACCTGTGATTCTAATACATACCTCATTTTAAAGTTGTTTACATAGAGGGAAAAGTGTGACTTAGAACTGAAGAAATACAGTATATTTACCATGATGGCTGTCGATTTTTTTAATGGGAAATCATGAGAAATATCTTGAAAATTTAAGGAGGATATCTCTGAAATCATTTCTAACCACATCTTATAAATTTCCATCTTTTATACTATAGCTGATCTACATTGTAGAACACCTTTTCCCTTTTATTGTACTCAAATTGGAATACAAACAAGAAATCCTTATAATATAGTGAATAAAGCAAATGATTGGGATTGGGATGACAGGTTCAAATTTTCAGTCACTAGAAATTTTACTAATGTTCTCTTCATTTGATCAACATATTCCAATTCAATTTATCTTAGTGTTATGTGCTCAAACTATGGGTGGGATATGCTGCCCCTTGAGTTCCTTGGAGAGAGAAAAAGACTGTAAACATAAATAAAGATGTGCAGAGTTACAACATTTTTGTAATATGGTGATGGATTTGGAAATGAAATTAGTAGATATACTTATCATTAGTTCCACACTGATTTACTATCATCTTTCACCTCTTTCCTAACTTCAGGCTGGCATTTTTTAAAGTATCACATAAATAGATGGTTATCTAATATTACATTTATAAATGTTTACTTTTTTAAAATCATGGCAATTTTTTTCTTTTCTAAGATGCTAGTGCCTTCACGATGGGATAGGTGTCTGATGTCTCACAAAATAACAGTCTGCACAGTCTCTGCTGCCACCTTACATAACCAGTTTTCCCTAGATTCCTCAGTGAAGAGGAAATTGTTCTTTTGCACACAACACAATGAATGTACCTCCAGGGTGTATTCACTGGCAAAATATGTATTTCAACCCAGCCAAAAGAACTAGGATATGATAGTTAGTCTATAGTGCATTCATATGATTGCCTACCTAGAAATGCAAAGTCTTTGCTGCTACTACTACCGTCCCATACCACCCCCTCTCTTTTTTTGGAATGTGATAGAGAAAGATACCATGGGGCTATGGGAAAGGAAGAGTTATGCACAGTTCCAAGGGATCTTTCCTCATAGCATGGCATTGTTAGCATAGCCAGAATTGTGGATCCTGGAAGTCTGATTATGCTGCATCAACACAGGCAATATCCATGACATTTTGAACACGATACAAGAGCACTGAGGATCCCTTGATGCCAGGCATTTGGAGCCTCAGGCAGCAGAATATAGTACAGAACTGCCAGCAAAGCTCTCCAAAGGAGAGAGGGGAGTCCCAATTTTTACCTAAAGGGAATATCCAACATGCCTAACATCTTCATTTGGATTTATTAGTAGTCCAGCATTGCAACATCACAGTAAAATTTCTGAAGTGTAACCTGTCTTTATGATATGAGGAGCAAATAAATAGCTTCAGATAATGTTGTCAAAGGACCACATTGCATTAACTGGAGAAATTATTACCTGGACATTGATTAATCCACATGGATTTGCATTATGCGGACTCACCTTAGAAATATAAAGTGGTCACACAAACTTTCCAAAAGGAAAATCCTTAACATCCCTATTTGGTAAACAAGGCTCCTTCTACACTGCCATATAATCCATATTATCAAAGCTATCTGGATTTTATATGGCAGTATAGAAGAGACCCCCAGCTTTGGATGATATTAGGACAGAACTGTTATCTGGTCCAGGCATCTCCTCTTTCTATTGTTCACTGTCTCTGAAATGAGTTTCTTAGAGTAGAAATGCTACAAGTATTAGATGGCTGCTGCTGTCAATGTGCTCCGAGTAAAACAAAAGTCTGAAGCTGCATAACATGTATTATAGAAACATGAAATGTGAGATGCATGAATCAGGGTAAGAGAGACATAGTAAAACAAGAAATGGAATGTATAAATATTGCAATACTTGGGGCAATGGAGCTAAAGTGGACAGGAATGGGGCATTCTGAGTTAGATAATTGCACAGTGCTTTATTCAGGAAATGAAAAATCTAAGAAAGGTTTTGGTGGTATTAACAGGGAATGTAGCAAAGAAGTCATAGACTATAACATTTTGTTAATAGCAAAGGTGATTGTTTTAATTGTGAAGAAAATTATTGGTTTCTCGAATAATATTGAAAAAAGATATTTTCAATTGCACTAAAAGAAACATTTAGATATTTTTAATTCAGGGATATATAGTAGTCCATAATTCCATCTCAATAAAAGCAGTATATTCATTTTATTGTATGTGAATGATTTGAATTACACAGTGTCTTGATCTCAGAAGAGCATGACTGTTGTCTTCATCAGAAAGCAGATAACCAAATGGTTAACAGATTAATCTTAAAATAAAAGTTCTTAGGTGTTTCTTCTTAGGTTTGCCAGAAGCAGTAGTGCAAAATATAATATGGAGAGAAGGGCATTGTGGCAATCAAATGTTGTCTTTGTGTGTCAACAGTTTAGGGTGGGCAACAAATTAAGGCTGTAATCTTATCTACACTTACCTTGGAAGGAAGCACAGTGAAACTTACTTTTGAGTACACATTAATAGGATTGCACTGTGCTGCTTGCACTTTCTTAACAATGTTATGGCAAGACTGCAATTATAAGTCAGCACTATGTGTGCATTGCATTTGCATGCATGTGACTTATCACAACAGCATGAATTTCAGAAGGTTTTCTTAGGCAAGGAAAACGCAGAGGTGGCTTAACAAGTTCCTTCCTCTGAAATATAACCATTCTTCTACCCACAGCTATATATTTGCTGGAGGGGCTGAATGGAGAAGATAATACAGTAAATGTAGGTTAGGACAAACAATTTTTTCTCTTTATCTTAATGGCTTCCATGCTGGGAAACAATTGGGGGAAAGTATGGCTTACCCCAAGATTTACATTTTGTCCTTCAGCTCTTTGCATTCCTCTCAGATCACTGGGGAAAAGGAAAGCATAACAATATATAATTCCAGAAATGCCTTTTCTGTGATTTCTCAAAGTCCCTAACTTGTCAGCAGTGAAACAGAACAGGAATTCTGCTTGCGAGTCAAATGTCTTAAGACTTAAAATGTACCCCTATGACACACGCACTCCATAAAAACCATGTACGTCAGCTCAGCCCTTCTACATAGCCTTATATTCCAGAATATCAAGGCAGAAAATCTCACATTATCTGAGTGTTGAGTCAGATAACCCAGTTCAAAGCAGATATTGTGGGATTTTCTGCCTTGATTTTCTGGGATATAAGGCTGTGTGGAAGGGTCCTCAGACACAGGCAATGTTTTGGAAAAAAAAGTTCAGTTCATCCAGTGTTATGACCATGTTCACATATAAATCAAAACCAGATAGAAATAAGAACACGACAGTGTGCATCAGATAGTATTGTTTAATGATCCTAATATGGGCCCTTCCACACAACCCTATATCCTAGAATATCAAGGCAGAAAGTCCCACAATATCTGCTTTGAACTGGGTTATCTGACTCCACACTCAGATGTGGGACTTTCTGCCTTGATATTCTGGGATATAGGACTGTGTGGAAGGACCCTAAATTAAAATAAAACTTCAAAACAGAATTATGTCGCAACTGATCCCTTTTAAACTGCTTTGGGGAGGGGCTCAGTGTATAAACGATTAATACTCTTTCCATTTACAATTACTTTTGGGATTTCCATTTTTCTTTAGCTAATTTGTTTTCAAAGCATTAAAGAATCATCACTTTTCTGAGAGTCTGTTTTGAAAATGCGAAAGACCTTTAAGCAGTCTGCACTAAGGATATGTGGTATCTTCACGCTCGAGTTAACAATCGCCTTCAATCTATAGCAGTGTTTCTCAAACTCTATACCTCCAGATGTCTTTGACTCCAGCTTCCACAGTTCCTAGCAGCTGGTAAACTATCAGGGATTTCTGGAAGCTGAAGTCCAAAATACTTGGAAAGCAGAGGTTTGAGAACACTGATCTATTGGATAGCTTGACTGTTGTGACTGATCCGAACTTCCTTTTGGCTGCCAATGCAGGAGTAAGCTTGTTGTCTGATTTCAAGTCTTTTTTGGTTCATAGTGATCCTAGCATGTGGTTTAGAGGCTGGGAGAGTGTGACCCACCCAAAGTCACCCAATGGATTTCCCTGGCTCAGCAGTGATATAAGCTCTGGGGTGCATCTACGATGTAGAATTAATGTAGTTTGACTCCACTTTTACTGCCATGGCTCAATACTATGGAATCATGGTCGGTCATTTGCCTCTGGAACGCCCTTCCTGGAGAAATAAGACAGGTCCCATCCCTCCCCTCCTTTCATAAGAGCCTGAAGACCTGGTGGTTTAAACAAATATTTGAGAATGACTAGTTCTAGCTCTACCCCAGAGACTGTAGAAATTAGCCATATATTTTTCTACCAATTACCCAGGTCACTTTCTTCTATTAGGCCCTGGAAATGAACAGCCATAGATTCTACCTAATTTCCTGGGCCCTCTAAAATCGTACTAACCCAGCCCGGCTTTTTAAACTGCCTTGAACAGGCAGGATTATTTTAAATATATGTGCTATTGTGGTTTTTAATGCTTATTTTGTCTTGTTAATTTTATGTTCATGCTGTTCTCTTTGTATGTATTGATTATGTCACTTGGAAACTGCTCTGAGTCTTCTTGGGGAGACAGAGCGGTATATAAATAAAGTTTTGTTGTTGTTGTTGTTGTTGTTTTCAACCAAGGAATACAGGTTCCTCACTGAAATGCAACATCCAGGATTCCATAGCACTGAGCCATGGCAGTTAAAGTGGAGTCAGCCTGCATTAATTTTATAGTATAGATGCACCCCCTGGCCTCCAATGCCATAGGGTGTAACTACATCAGGCATGGGCAAACTTTGGCCCTCCATGTGTACTGGACTTCAACTTCCACAATTCCTACCAGCCTACTGGCTACTAGGAATTGTGGGAGTTGAAGTCTAAAACACCTGGAGGGCCAAAGTTTGCACATGCCTGACCTACACTGTCACATTAATCCATTGTGACACTGCATTAACTGCCATGTCTTAGTGCTATGGGATCCTGGATGTTGTAGTTTGGTAAGGAACCAGCATTGTTGGGCAGAGAAAGATGAAGATCTTGTTAGGGCCCTTCCACACAGCCCTATATCTCAGGAAATCCCACATTATCTGAGTGTGGACTCAGATAACTCAGTTCAAAGCAAGTATTGTGGGATTTTCTGCCTTGATATTCTGGGATATAGGGCCGTGTGGAAGGGCCCTAAGACTACAGCTCCCATGATCCCACAATATTGAGCCATGGCAATTAAAGTGGTGTCAAACTACATTAATTCTACAGGATAACATGCACCCCTTATCTTGGGCATTCGGAGGCTGGGGGCCCTTCCACACAGTCCTTTATCCCAGAATATCAAGGCAGAAAATCCCACAATATCTGTTTTGAACTGGGTTATCTGCATCCATCTGTTCAAAGCAGATATTGTAAGATTTAGTACTTTGATATTCTGGGGTATAGGGCTGTATGGAAGGGCCCCCAGTTCAAAGTAGATATTGTGGGATTTACTACTTTGATATTATGGGATACAGGGCTGTGTGGAAGGGCCCCCAGTTCAAAGCAGATATTGTGGGATTTACTACTTTGATATTATGGGATATAGGGCTGTGTGGAAGGGCCCCCAGTTCAAAGCAGATATTGTGGGATTTTCTGCCTTGATATTCTGGGATATAGGGCTGTGTGGAAGGGTCCTGGATCTACACAGCCCTATATCCCAGGATCTGAGCCCAGGTTATATAGCAGTGTAGACTCACATAATCCAGTTCAAAGCAGTTAATCTGGGAACAGATCCTGGGATATAGGGCAGCGTAGCTCCAGCTTGAGACACTTTCAGAAAAACCAACGCGCCTTCCTATAGAGTTTCCATCCTTTTGATCCTCCGGAAGGCTTTCTAGCCGTGTCCTGTCTATGGAAACCCAGTTCCGTATGGGAAAGCGTCGCCCTTCGTGCCCTTCCGGTGATTGGAGCTCGGCTTCCGGTCTGTGTGTTCTGTTGTCTTCCTGGGAGCCTCGGGCAAAGTGAGTGAGCGAGTGGTGGGCTCTCTTGCCGAAACCACGCCCCCCGCACGCTCGCCAATGGAGCCTTCTGGGCAGGTGAGGGGCAGGGTGGGATCCCCGGCCAGGTACTCTCGCTTGGCTTTGCTGCTGCTGCTGCTTCGAGCCGGGAAGGCGGGCGATAAAGCGAGAGGCTGCCTCGTCCACGCCTTTGCCTCTCTCTCGTCCTTCTGTGCTGGGCTTTGGTATGTGGGGAATAGCAAGCCACAGGTAGCCAATAGCCATGTCTTGGCCTAAACGCTCTGAGGGGCGTTAGAGCAATGGCTCCTGCCTGTAAGAGTTGAAGGCTTCCTCAGGGGTAGCAGGCCGCCACTTAGAACAGGAATGCAAAAAAGCCAGTTGTTCCCATATTCTGATCACATATGAGCCTAAATACCCTAAAATACACCAGATCCCATCTGATCTTGGAAACTAAGCAAAGTTAGCCTTGGTTAGTACTTGCATGGGAGACCATCAGTAACTAGACAATATTATTTCAGAGGAAAGGACTGGCAAAACCTCGTCATTTTCTTACCTGAAATGCAAACGGTTGCTGTAAGTTTCCAGGGGAATTTGGGGGCACAACAAAACACACAGCCATGATATTGTCAAAGGCTTTCATGGCTGGAATCACTGGGTTGTTGTAGATTTTTTTCGGACTATATGTTCTAAAGGCATTCTCTCCTGACATTTCGCCTGCATTTATGGCAAGCATCCTCAGAGGTAGTGAGGTCTGTTGGAACTAGGAAAAAGGGTTTATATATCTCTGGAATGACCAGGGCTAGGTGTGAATGTTTCAACTGACTACCTTGATTAGCAATAAGAGAGAAATTACAATCATAATTGGTTGTTGTAGGTTATTTTGGGCTATATGGCCATGTTCTAGAGGCATTCTCTCCTGATGTTTCACAGAGGTAGTGAGTATGCTTGCCATGGATGCAGGCGAAACGTCAGGAGAGAATGCCTCTAGAACATGGCCATATAGCCCGAAAAAACTACAACAACCAAGTGATTCCGGCCATGAAAGCCTTCGACAATACACAATAATGACATCAATCACATAAATCACATCAAATGCTAATCAAGGTGGTCAGTTGAAACATTCACACGTAGCTCCAACAGACAAGAGTTCTTTGTCCCACCCTGGTCATTCCACAGATATATAAACCCATTTTCCTAGTTCCAACAGACCTCACTACCTCTGAGGATGCTTGCCATAGATGCAGGTGAAACATCAGGAGAGAATGCCTCTAGAACATGGCCATACAGCCCGAAAAAACCTACAACACACAGCCATGACTTTGGGGGATCATCAGATTTTCTGTCTCAATTCAGGAAAGTAATAATTGTTTCAAACACATCTGGAGAGGAGGAAGGGAGATATTAAGCAGTGGAAGAAACAAAGTACAGTAGACTCCCAGGCCCCTAATAATAATAATCATCATCATCATCATCATCTTTATTTATACCCCACCACCATCTCCCCAAAGGGGACTCGGGGCGGCTTACATGAGGCCAAGCCCAGTAGTGCATTACAACAGAATAAAACAAAAAGCACAAAACAAACATCACAATATAATAAATAATATGTAAGAATCAATAAAACAGTCCAGAAAATGCAATGAGAGATAAATCACAATCATAATGAGCGGGCCACATGTACAAGATAAAACTCAGGATGAGATAGAAATGAAACGGAAATAGTTGTGGGGGAGAAACTCATTGGAAACGTAGTAGTGGAGACAGGCCTTCAAACAGGCAGGGGAAAGTGCAGTATGGGGGCTACATTTTGGGGCGAGCGAACAAAAGGAGATGTAAGGTCAGGTTTGAGATCCTTCTTGAAGGTTGCTAGGGTGGGGGCTTGCCTAATATTCCTTCCACACAGCTATATAAAATCCAAATTGAAATGGATTATACGGCAGTGTGGATTTGGATAATCCAGTTCAAAGCAGACACTGTGGATTATCTGCCTTGATATTCTGGGACCCCTTCCACACAACTGTATAAAATCCACATTGAACTGGATAATATGGCATTGTGGACAGAAGGCTCTTCCAGACAGGCCCAATATCCCAGGATCTGATCCCAGATTTTCTGTTTTAAACTGGAATATATGAGTCCCCACTGCCAGATCACCTGGAGTAAATGCATAATCTGGGATCAATCCTGGAACATAGGGATGGTGTGGAAGGCCCTTAGATAACTTAGTTTGAAGCAGATATTGTGGATTATGTGCCTTGATATTTTTGGTTATGTGATTGTGTATAAGGACCCTGGGTTTTATGACTGTGTGGAAGGGCCCACTGTTATCTGGAACCCAAGCAAAAAAACAAGTTATCTAAAATGGCCTACTGCATTCACAAAGCTGTTTTTGTTATACAGTGAAACTGTGTTACACTAAGTTTGTCTTAATTTGCTTTTAAATTACTGTATTTTGATATGAATATCAAATCAATACAGAGTTTATAGTACAGTATAACAAGCAGAAACTACATTTATCCTGCATCTACTAAACTGTATGGGTGCCAGCTAATTGAGGGCCTTTAACACAGCCATATAACCCAGAATATCAATATTCTGGAATATATGGCAGTGTGGACTCAGATAACCCAGTTCAGTGCAGATATTGAAGATATTGTGGATTATCTGCCTTGATATTCTGGGTTATATGGCTGTGTGGAAGCCCCCTTCTACACTGCCCTATATCCCAGGATCTGATCCCAGATAATTTGTTTATTCCAGTTTATTTGGCAGTGTAGACTCATATAATCCAGTTCAAAGCAAATAATCTAGGATCAGTTCCTGAGATATAAGGCAGTGTAGATCCAGCCCGAGAGTCTATGGGTCCTTCCACACAGCCATATAACCCAGAATATCAAGGCAGATATTCCACAATATCTGCTTTGGATTGGAATATCTGAAGTCCACACTGCCATATAATCCATTTCAGTGTGGATTTTATACATCTGTGTGGAAGGACCCTACTGTATTTCAAAGTGACTGAGATGTAGATAGTCTTTCAAATGTTACTCTTGGTGTTACATTTACTGTAGTTACATTTTAAGCAGTTGACACCTAAGCATAAGTTCAAGTAGCTTGTACTACTAGGAATAAAACTTGGTTGAAGCAATCACAAATAAAAGAAACTTGATTTATATGAGTTTTAAAGTGATATACATTTGCTTTTTTGGGGATTTGTGCTGTCAATACATTTGTATTTGTTATTATTGTATAGGCATTTAATGTTTGCCTTTTGTTGTTGGAATCCGCCTTGAGTCCCCCCAGGGAGATAGGGTGGAATACAAATAAAGAAGTTGTTTTTGTTGTTATTCTTATTATATATGGTCCTATGGTGGATTTAAATGCAACAAACATCTTATACAGTGTAAGGAACTTTTAGGGGTAATAACCCTGTAAGCAGATATAGGATTGATACTGTAGGAAAAAACATTACATATCTGAATCCATGTATAGGTTACTGTATTATGATACAGAGAGCAAAACTCAATTCAAATCTGGAAAATAATTGTAGAAATGGTACAAAATTCCCACGTGAAAGATCAGTTCAGATATCTCCTCATTCGCCAAATATATTTTTAGGCTTCATCACTGGATATTTATTTATTTATTTAAAACTTTTAAATAAATAAATATCGACCTTCTTTACCTCCATAGAGGGACTCATACCGGATAGTAACAATTTCAGTACAGGGTTACACTTCCAGCTTCCAAATCTTATTTAAAACACTTTTATGCAGTCAGAATATAGATTCCATTCCTTTGTAGTGGTATGTTTTACTTTATTTTGTGTTTTGAGTCATCTGCTGCTGGTGGATTGTCATAATAATACTAGCCGTGTTCTCGATTTAAATGAGGGTGTGCGTGTTTATGTGACAAGTCTTCAGATACCAGCTTTTAAAAACAACCTTGTTTTTGTGTTCCAAATGTGATTTAATTTTCAATACACAACATATCTAATTATTAACAGGAAAATTCAAGTAGATACTATAGTTTTTTTTATTGAACTGTGTTTAATACTGTTTTAGGATTTCACTATTTATTGTTAACTGCCATCAAGTCAATTTCAATTTAAGATAACCCTATGGATGAGAGATTTCCAAGCCACACTGTCATTACCAGTTCTGCTCAACTCTTGCAGACTCGGGGCCATGGCTTATTTAATCAAGTCTCATAATCTGTAACGTGGTCTTCCTCTATTCTACTGCCTTTCACTTGTTGTTTTTAAAGAGTCTTTACTTTTCATGAAACTAGAACCATCTCAGCTTATTTATTTTTGGTTCCTAATCTAGGGAGATTTTAGGCTTGAATTCCTCTTGTACTCATTTATTTATTGTCTAAAGGAAAGATATTAATTTTAATTACATTTTTAAATTAAGGCAATATTGTCACATAAACACTAGAAGTGTGTTCACTGGCATACGTTCACCACTAGTTTTTGAGACTTAATACAGCTGAGTTGCACCATATTTTGTCAGTAGGAAGTAAGATGTATTTATTTGGTTGTTGGGAAGTAAAATATATATGGAAGTGTTTCCAAAAAGCAAAAGACAATGTAAGGCAAAACAAGAGTTCCCATGTTCAATGCCCTATGGAATCACATAGAGTGTCTCACCAATGAGTTTTAATGGTTTTGAAATAGCATATCTCATGTACATTTTGCTGAAATGTTAGCAGGTGTTTATATAATTGCTGGCATATTTCATACACTGACTTAATGTTCTTTGTTTTGACAAAAGAGCCAAATAAATATGACTTACATACCCACGGAGGATGAAAAGAGAGTATTCAGAGAATGCAATGAGGAGAGCTTCTGGTACAGATGTAAGTGAAATGTTTCAAGAAGTAATGCCTACTTACAGTCATGTTTTTTGTTTCACCAGACAATGAATATTGAACTTCTCAAAGAGTATAACTCGTATCAGGATATTCAGATTGTTAATTAAGTTTATCAATATCATATGAGGGTAAAAATCACATAATCCTTAACAATATAATCCATTAATACTAAATCCATTTTTATATGAACCATGGAATACAAATAACGTTTTATTATTGTATTTATTATTATTATTATGGAACAAATTACTAGGAAACGGGTCATTTTTTTAAGTGTCATTAGCTTTCACAGATGTAAGTTTCACTTTTTTGGATTTTATTAATAAGTTCTCTCTAGGTCTTCCAGTGGTTAATGTTTGCCATAGAGTTGTGCTGGAGAACTTATAGATTCCTAGACATAACACTTCTTTAGACATTTGTACATCCTTCGGAGTGATTCAATGGTCAACTTCTGGTAGAAGTTGTGATTTTCTTTCTTTTATGAGGGTCCTGTGCAAACCCCAGCAAATATGGAGAGCTGACTGCAATAACACTATATAAGGTCTCGATTATGTCTAGACGCTCCAACCGTTCATGTACCATAATCCATCAGATGTGCCTTGAGGTTGTTTATGATATGACAAAATACTGGTGTAGAGTATTGTTTTAAAATACTTGCTGCATTTACTCCTTATATAAAATTTTAAAAGTTTATTATCTACTTAACTTGCCTTTGTGCTAAAGAAACCCATCCCAAACCAAAATACATAAACACACAGACACTGCTTACTTTCCTTTTATACTTTGTTTAGGAAAGTAGAATTGATATTAAATTTCAAAATTAAAATAATCTGATAATAGAATTTTTAAAACCTGCTTTATCCTCATTCTTGCATCTATAAGGACTTTGAAATGCTCTGTTAATGAAAAGTAGGGGTTTTCAAAAATAAATTTCTAAAGTATGATTCAGATTGCACACTCTCCATATTTCTTTTCTAAATGGTTCTAAATAATTTGATCTTAGTCAAAAGGAAAAGAAGTGATATGATGCCAAGAAAGAAGAACTCAATGTTTGATAACGAAGGTATCCAATCCCTCTTAAAAGTAAAAAAGGCAATTTATATTTTAGAAAAGATTTAGTGTAGAACATTATTTAACAAGTTTACTCAAAATTATACTGAGTGCAATAGAACTTATTCTTTAATCAGGTTGTAATTTTGCAGCCTTTTAAAAAAAGAAGATAATGAATTCTAATCTCAGTATTAATAGCAATATTTCTTTCCCCACCCACAGCCCTTCCTATCGCTAGTATAAGCATGGTGATCACACAGATGCTAATCAAGAAAGGTAAGCCTTCAACACTTCTGACTGAATTTAGATATCTTCTGTTCACCTTTCTTTGTGTTATTCAGAAACTTAATTGATAAAGATTATTAAACTTAAACGGAGGGGAATAGTTCAAAAATAAAAGATGTGGAAGTGGAGAGGGGAAAAAACCTAATTGAAAGCATTACGTTTTTTAAAAAATTCAGAAATGGAGATTGGTGTCTTAAATCAAACATTTGTAAATACTTCACAGAAATTGTCCACTACAGAAATTATTTAGAAAGCTTTCAGTCATTTGTTGCTCTAAAACAGTGGTCCCCAACCTTTTTTTTGACCAGGGACCACTCTCCAGCATTAGTACCAAAAGGGTTACGAACCTGTTTTTGGTCAACTTTAGATTCAGTTTGGTTATTTGGCATACTGATTCAGAAAATTGCATTGTCTAGATCACATCAGCTCTATTTTCTGATACAGAACATATGCCATCAATTTTTTGTTTCCTAGTGGTGATCCCACACTCCATAGGAAATGAACCTGCATGAGACACATTTATAAAAAGAAAAGATACCATTGTTTGCAAAGTAGTTTGCAATTTTTTTAATCAAATATTCATAGAGGGAGAAAATATCTTTTAAATTCTGACCTCAGCTTTTATTGGATTTTGTCAGCATATGTAGTTCCAAAACTACACATGGACTGTTTTTGGACTATTCAGATTTAGATTTCATTTCAAGATATTATGGCACTTTTTAAACAAGGAAGGGATACTAGCTGTTTAGATTTAGGAGAGAGGATATTTCAAGTAACTTACTAAGTACCCCATCAAACTATTGTATATGATACACAGGGCTATTTCTAGAAACTATTGCATTGATCTATCTTGTGTGCATCCCTTTCCATGTGAAGATTTTCTTTGTGTTAAAGTAAACATTTTCCATAAAATGGCATGACATTGAATTATGTGTACCTTCTACTCTAAACTGATTTTAAATTGTCATGCTATTGCATTGCTATGGTCTTCACAACTGGGGTTTTTTTTTTTGTGGGGCAACACATAATTAAAAAGAATTAGAACATGTGTATGTTTGTTGAAGTTGTAAGTGTTGTTCTAGTTCATTGGTTCCCAATTTTGGACCTCTTAAGTGTTTGAGACTTCAATTCCCAGAAGCCCCAGCCAGCTGAAGGAGTTCTGGGAGCTGAAGTCCAAACGGTTGGATGACCAAACATTGGTAACCACTGTGGTGAATTCTTAATTCATATTTTTCTAAATACCCTAATTCCCCACTTTAATCTTTGTTTATTTTTAGGAATTCTTACAACACATTCAAGATTTGGCTCAATACCAAAAGTTGCATGTGAGTGTGATAATTTGTTTTTTTTTAATGGGTATTTATTGCTATTATTTGTTGAATAGTCCTAGGTTTAATTCTATTTTATTGTTTATAGCCATTAGGTTATAAATTGCATATATTTTTTGCACAGTTAACCACTTTAGGTCTTTTTGAGAAAAAAGCAGCATCTAAATAAATACAATAATAATAATTATTATTATCACTACACCAAATTCCAGTTGTATATGATAGCTCACAATTCAGGACTAAAGTTGTCACCATATTCAACAAGTGAGGCTCTTTGCCTTTATCACTTGGTTAAGAAGAGCTTGGCCATTTCAAAATTATAGTTTTGACCAAATATAGTTTATTTAGGGGGAAAGGGGTTATTTAGACCGCAATTGAAGAAATGTATGTGTAAGGGGAAAAGATCTATACTGGTCTAAGCTTTTACTGAAGATGTACAAATCAGAATTTCTTAATCCTTTTAATGCTGAATTTTCTTAGAATCGTTCAGATACCTTGAGATGCAGAAATAAAGATTGACTAGTTTACTGGTACTCCCTTTTTTCTAGCTTTATTAAAAGGTAAAAGAAATTCAGCATGACTGAAATTCAGTCACTTGATGGTTTGGAAGTCACTTTTCACCTTCTTTTCATCTGCTCCATCCCTTTTTCATTTCTCCCCCTCTTCTTTTTTATTTGTTTTCCTGGCAGAGCATTTTTATAGGGCTCTATTAGTGCCAACAAAATGTCATGGACCACACTTGTATGCTGGTCATTTCCCTTCTCCTCAGGCAGTATTTGCCAGTATTCACAATTCTACCACTGTCACTGTAAAAACTTTAACTCTTATGTAGCTGGTTATGTCTATAGTGTAAAAGTAAACAGTTTTAATAAACAATATGTCTGTTTGGTTTAAAGCAAGCATTATTTAATTCTTAGCTACATCATTGTATTGTAAAACACTAGTAATTGCTTAAACAGCTGTTGAACATCCTTTTAGAATGGACTAAAGTTGAATAATCTACTTCAGTATCAACTAGTTCTCCAACCAAATTCCATCACAGGCATGCATTTTTGTACTTCCTTGCCTTGAATATGATTGGGACTCCTTAGATGAAATATTTATATAAAGTCTTCACTTAGGTATAGCAACTCAGTCTGGATCCAGCTCTCATCTCACTGTCAGGCTGCTTGGTCACTTGAAACCTACTCCCCATATGGTCTTACTCTCCATCTCTCTGGTAGATATCTTTCTCATGCTTGCCTTCTACAGTGATATCCATTCCAATCCTGCTGGTAGCCACTCATTGTTTTGTGTCATCCTTAGGCTTGTTGCCTAAGGCAGCAGATTATACGATCTGTCTTCAAAGACGTGTCAGGAGCTTATGATACTAAAAATCATCACCTTCTCCTGAAAAAACATCACATGAAAGCTGAACTAGCACAACTTTGGAACCACAACTAGACACAGTAAAGACATCTGCCCTTGAGTTTTGCTACTCTGCTGCTTAGTGCGAATGCACAGTGTGGAACACATCTCACCACGTAAAAACAGTGGATGTGGCTCAGTGAGACATTCTGCATTATCACAGGATGTCTACGCCCCACATTACTGGGGAAATTATACTGTTTAGCCAGTATTGCACCATGTGACATCCACTGGGAAGTAGCAGCCTGTAATGAAAGAACCAAGGCATCGACATCTCTGGCCCATCCTCTGTTTGGATATCAGCCAGCACGCCAATGCCTTAAATCAAGAAATAGCTTCCTAAGATCTACAGAGAAACTTGCAGGAACACCTCAGCAAGTAAGAGTCTAAAAGTGGCAGGTTAAAACCGAAAACGTCAATCAGTGGCAGTCAGAAGGTACTGAACAGACTGTGCTCTGGCACCACAAAATGCAGAGCCAACCTTAAGAAATGCGGCTACAAAGTGAATTCCACGATATGCAAGTGTGGAGAAGAGCAAACCACAGACCACCTATTACAATGCAGCTTGAGCCCCACCACATGCACAATGGAGGACATTCTTGCAAGACCAGAGGCACTCAAGTGACCAGCTACTGATCAAAGGATATTTAGTGTACTGCCAAGTTTTTAAATACATTACAACTGCACCCTCAATTTGCTTCTGACATGATAAATAAATCATTCGTTCTATTCATTTTTGGGTTTCTCTACTGTCTTCAATGTTTTTGAATGCTACATTGTATGCATCCTGGCAGTTTCCTGATCAGATCTGAAGGACCCAGCATCCAAGCTCCTCCTACTCCTACTGTTAATTCCCCACCAATCAGATACAATATTATCCATTGCCCAATCAGCAATGCACAATTGGAATTCCCTCTAAGCATGTTAAATATCTAAGTTAAAATCAACCTGATAATTATGCTCAAACAGTTAAATCTCAGTAATAGTCAAGATACCTGTTCACCTTTAGACAGTGAATGCCCTAATACAAGTTTTAGTTCAAAATCCTCTTTTTTTCTTCTGTGGTTGTTTAACCCAGCAATATCTATTATATATCAATTAATATAAATCTGTATATAGGCATAATGCACTCTGCCACACATCAAAGCTGTTTCTGTGCATGTCTTGATCTTTCTGTAATTTTCACACAAGTGAGACAGAGTTGTGACTTCAACTTTATCACCTTCCTTTCCCCCCATTTATCTACCTAATAAATGTCAATATGTTTTGAAAGCTACCATGATATCTTGAAGAAGAAAAAACAACCAATAAAACACTCTTTAAAGTATAGTTGCAGGTGGTAGCTCCGTAATACACTTCTAAGTCTCACACAACATCAAAATGTACAGTGAGCAAAGTAAAGTACCCATCCCATATTTCCTTCTCTACTTGATAAGATACTGATCCAAGTAAACAGGACTTGAGTTCAATCAATTGTTACTCCGCCCAAGGAAACCAACAGTGAAATCTAGAAGCATGCTCAGAAGTAGAACCAATTGAGTTCAGTGGGATTTAATTTATAGGTTTTTAAATGATATTTCAGCCCTAGTCTTGTAAAAATGAGCTTCTGAAGAAGTAGTTGTCACTTTCTGTCTAGTAGCCGGCAAATGTAGTTATTTGCTAAGAAGGAGCTGATAGTTAATCTTCCGCTTTTGGAACAAGATTGACCAGCTTCTTCATTGCAGTCTGGTGATTACCTAGTTGCCTCTGACCTTTTCTAAGATCTCTCTTTTGTTGACGGAGAAGAATGCTCCAGGGACTAAGCAAATGGTTTTTAGTGCTGAGTTAAAGATTTATTTTGCTTATTTCTTTATGTTTAATTTCAAACAAGATTGTATTTTTAAGCATCATGGCATCAAATAGCTCAAATTGTTTACTTTCCTTTGTAAATAAGTTGCTGGCTTCTGTGGATACATCGGTGGAAAAGTTTCCTATATGAAAACATGCCAAGAGAAGTTTAAAAAACTAGAAAATTCCCCACTGGGAGAAGCTCTGAGGAAGCATAAACCACTGCCACATGAGTAAGAAATTATTTTTACTTTAAATTTTAGATGTATTTTTTAAAGTTTAGTATTAAAGATGATCATGATTTTTTTCCCTGTAGAAGCTGAATCACTCATGATCACAAATCCACTCACAATCGTTATAAACACACACACACACACAAATTACTGTCTGTTTCAAATTTCGGAGTGTTTTAACATAGAAAATAATGTAATTTTTGTATTGTTGAAGGCTTTCATGGCCGGAATCACTGGGTTGTTGTCGCCTGTAGCGGGGGGGGGGGGGGGGGGGGGGGGGGGTTTAGGGGTTCACCCCCCCCCCCCCGAAATGTTTCAGATTTTAAAAAACCTGGTTTACTCATGAATTTTAACTGGTTAACCAAATCCCCATGCTAAGTCTATGAGATGCAAAAAATTAAGAGTCCCTCCAGAACTGCAAGCACTATCTCAAGCAAATATTGACAATTTATTCACACTGTCATTACTTGCAGCAATAGCCGATGTAGCGAAGCAACCAAGTTGGGGGGGGGGGTGTTGAATGCTCTCATTAAGGGGGCCAGACTTGGTGGAGGTGGTTGACAGGGGCGGAGCTGCAGGCTATTGAAGGCTGCTCTGCCCCCTGCTCTTTGCTTCAACATGAGCTAGGAGGCAAGTTTCAACCCTCCCCCCACAAAATTTTCAAACCCCCGCCCCCCGAAAATTTCAACCCCTCCTGTAATTTTTTTTTGGCTATATCACTGGGTTGTTATAGGTTTTTCCGGGCTATATGGCCATGTTCTAGAGGCATTTTCTCCTGACGTTTCGCCGGCATCTATGGGACCTCACTACCTCTGAGGATGCTTGCCATAGTTGCAGGTGAAACGTCAGGAGAAAATGCCTCTAGAACATGGCCATATAGCCCGGAGAAACCTACAACAACCCAATGTAATTTTTAAAAATGCATTATGTGGTGGTCATGGACCATAATGAAGTATTGTTGTTGTAATATATTTTTAGACCACTGCAAAACAATCTTAAATGTGCTTGCTTTATTTTGTTGTGCAGCTATAGTGTGATCATTGGGATATGCTAATATACGTGAAAACAATGAAAATTTGTTACTTTTTCTAAAAGTAAGCTTTGCCAAGAAAGAGGATGGTAATATTTGAGCATTAACTATCATTCAAAGTTAAGTATTCTGAGACGGTTTCTAAACAGGAAAAGCTTCAGCAGGATGTGGGAAAGTGTGTCAGTTCTAGATGTTTCCCTTGAATATAATATTTTTTGCATAGAAGACGACAGCATTCAATTGATTGCAAGGATAGTTGTGAGAAAAACAATCAGATTAGGTGTAGAAGGAAGGAAATTAGACAAACTTTCAATTCTGTGTACATGAACTCTTGTTACTCATTGTAGTCTTTTTCTGTGGTCCCTCAACTTTAAAGAAACTTTACAAAGCAAAGTGAAATGTATGAGCTGGGCCTATAAAGCACACACTAGAATCCTTAGTTTTCAGAGTTCCTGTACTCAGGGAACTCTTTTGAATTTTACTATTCCTGCCTTGATATTATTATTACCGCACTTCTACTCCGCCCTTCTCAGCCCAAAGGCGACTCGGGGTGGCGTACAAACTGGCAACAATTGAATGCCACAAACATACATACATCGATTAAACAGTTAAAAGTACATAGTAAAATCCATATAAAATCAGTTCCATATTAAATGTTGAAATGTCATTGTCTCTTGAAGCACTCCTGACATGTACTGATTTGCAAGGATTGAATTAACATTTTTGTCCTAGGAATACTTTGTATGAAGGTATGTTTATTACACCGTTTCTCTATGAGTTCTCCCATGCAAATAATCTGCTCCTTTTATCTCACCCTGAGTTTTTAAACCATTTTATTGTACATGCGGCCCGCTCACTGTCATTATGTTTGTTTATTGCTTTCTTATGCTTTGTGTATTTTGCTTATTATATTTATATGTTTGTATGTTATTGCGATGTTGTTTACTTTATTGTAATTTGTATTTTGTTTTATTATAATTTGTTGTTGGCCTCATGTGAGCCGCCCCGAGTCCCCACTGGGGGAGATGGTGGCGGGGTACAAATAAAGTTTATTATTATTTATTATTAATTAGGATAGAATTCCACTCAGCCCTCTTGGTCCTTTTTTCTCTGCACTGAATTTGCCCCTATTCTTGCTGCTCTGCAGGGAAAGGATTGGTACTGTGACTTTCAAGGAGGCTTATCTGCCACCAGGAATGTGCTTCCATCTGAAAACCATTATACCAGACTGCAACTTAGCCAGTTAGAGCTAGAAAAAACTCGGCTGTCATTCACTGATGCAAGCAAAAAGGATTAAGATATCAGGACAAAAGGAATTTGTTTGGCAGTGCAATTTAGAAATACAGTGCAAGCTGGCCTCCTTAAATAAAACTTTTGGAAAGTGCAAGTATTTTTCACACTCCGATTTCTTCCACAATGCTGTTTAAAACCATTGCTGTTCTGTGCAACTTTGTTGTGCATTGCTGTTCTGTTTCAAACTGCATTATTTGGCATTGTAGATGGGGCCTTCATTATACAAACCTCTTATCTGTTTATATATAATGATGCTAATATGTGATGATTTATATTGGATATATTTACATAGATTTGTATTTATTTATTTACTTATTGTATTTGCATACCGCCTTTCTCAGCCCGTAGGCTACTAAAGGCGGTCAACAGGGTAAAATTCAATGCTTACAATATCATAAATACAATTAAAAACATAACACATAATATAAACTAAACAAATCAATAAAATATAAATTCATAGTGTCTCCTTGTTAAAAATGTCTTATTGTCGTCGTTCCATTTTCCTATGTCAGTTACTCTGCATTTGGAAACGCTTGTTCAAAAAGCCACATCTTGACTTTTTCCCGGAATGTTAAAAGGGAGGTGGCTGATCTTATATCTATAGGAAGTGCGTTCCATAGCCAGGGGGCCACTACTGAGAAGGCTCTATCTCTCATCTCCGCCAAACATACTTGTTAGTTACAAAGGCGGTGACGAGAGAAGGGCCTCCCCAGATGATCTTAAGGTCCTAGATGGTTCATAAGGGGAGATGCGTTCAGACATGTAAGTTGGGCCATTCAATACACAATACTGACTGCATTGAAGAATAATTGTTTTGTCCAAAAACATAGATATTAATTGTTTAAGAATTATAGCCTGGTGCTTTAGTGAACAGATAGAAATATTCATTGTATGCCATTCAATGTTTGCATTTCAGTAGCTGAGTTGTAAATATTTTCAGAATGGAAAGTTAGCCTTTATTTAAAATTTACCATGCAGTTATCTTTGTTATGGAATATCTGTGCTAAATGAAGATTTCAGCCTCCTATTAAGAATGAAGCAAATGCTTCTGCCATTCCTACGCTTTCCCTCGCCTTCGCCATGTCCATCTAGTATAGTTCTCTCCAAGTTTTGTTTCCATTCCCCTCTCTGCTATAATTTTTTCATTTGTGTAATAGTTTTTCTCAAGCATTACAAATCTCTTGATATTGTTGGTCTGAGTGATTAGATTTTAATGCACTATACATATATCATATATATATACATATATAGATTAGATTTTAATGCACTATACATATATAGCCCCCGGTGGCGCAGTGGGTTAAAGCACTGAGCTGCTGAGCTTGTTGATCGAAAGGTCGCAGGTTCGATTCCGGGGAGCGGCGTGAGCTTCCGCTGTCAGCCCTAGCTTCTGCCAACCTAGCAGTTCGAAAACATGCAAATGTGAGTAGATCAATAGGTACCGCTCCTGCGGGAAGGTAACGGCGCTCCATGCAGTCATGCCGGCCACATGACCTTGGAGGTGTCTACAGACAACGCTGGCTCTTCGGCTTAGAAATGGAGATGAGCACCACACCCCAGAGTCAGACATGACTGGACTTAATGTCAGGGGACTACCATTTTATACATATATCTTTAATAAACAAGGTTTCTCTTTTTAATGAACTTCTAATAACCATTGCGTTTCTCTGCAGGTACCATTCTCAACAACCAGGATTTTCAAAAGCGCCTCCGTCTTTTGAAAGTACCCCAGCAGCAGAATCACAAACGTCTTCAAAATATCCTGTTGATAATTATGGAATGGCAGACTTTCAATCTAAGTATGTACCTGCCCCATTTAGTTCTTCCATGAATGAATCTTCACCTACTGGAATAACAGACAGTTCCCCTCAAGGTACAGTCTGTCTTGAATTTTGTAATGCTTTTCTTGTCAAAAATGGAAAGGTTGGAATTCAATTTTCACTTCACTGATAGATGTGATTTTTTCACATTTAAAATGGCGGCATTAGGATGCATATGAGGAATATGTGTTTCACAAATGTCCTGTTCAGTGTTGATTCAAGAAGTGGGGTCATATTTGCGGGGAAGGACTGATAGGCACAAGGGGAATACTCCTGCCAGTTGTTCCTGGAAATTTCCATTGAACACTTGTATCTTATGATGTTGTCACTTGGCTGAGGATATACACTTTGAAAAGACAAGGGAGGAATTGGTGGTCGAATCTGCCAGATTTTGTACTGTGATACTTAAACTATAGTAAAAGCATCCTCAAAACTGCAGTCCTCCAGCTGTTTTGACTTCCCAACTCCCAGAAAGCTTAGCCAACTTCTCCAGTGGTCAGGAATTCTGTGAGTTGGAGGCCCAAACAACTGAAGTCAGTGAATTGACATCTAATGGTTGGCAGTTAGATATTTTTAAACTGCGGTTAAACAATCAGTCATATTGCACCTGCATTGGTGCAATATGAGTATCTTATAGAACTATAGTTCTATAAGATACTCCTAATTATTTCTTAAAATCAATTACCATATTTCATTGCATAATAGTTACAATTTTTATCTCCCATTTTGTTGGAAAGGGGCGACTATTATGTGGTAAAAAATGTTGCCTTCTGTTTGCTGGATTTTAAGTTTTTGTAATAAAAGCTGCCTTATTCTCGAGCTAAAGAGAAGGGAGAGAAAGCTCCGTGTTCAAAATGTCTTGCGAGGAAAGGGAAACCCCCATTTCGGGGCCCAAAAAATGGAGTGCGCCTCTTATGTAAGAAAATATGGTATATCACGTTAAGGTGAGATGCTACATCATTACATGTACCATTAATCTTTTATAGCTTCCTGTCTACAATAGAAATATATACAAATTTGTCATTTATTTATTTATCGTGTCAGAAGCAAATTGAGGGTACAGTTATAATGTAGTCAAAAACACAAAGTTAAAGACTTGGCATTATGCTAAATGTCCTTTTACCAGAAGCTAGCCACCTGAATGCCTCTGGTGTTGCTGTAAGAAGGTCCTCCATTGTGCACATGGCAGGGTTCAGGTTGCATTGTAGTAGGTTCTCTGTGGTTTGCTTTTCGCCACACCCGCATGTTGTGGACTCCACTTTGTAGCCCCATTTCATAAGGTTGGCTCTGCATCTCGTGGACCCAGAGCACAGCCTGTTCAGTGCCTTCCAGGTCATCCAGTCTTCTGTGTGTCCAGGAGGGAGTCTCTTCTCTACTATCAGCCACTACTTGAGATTCCGGGGTTTTGCTTGCCACTTTTGGACTCTTGCTGGCTGAGGTGTTCCTGCAAGTGTCTCTGTAGATCTTAGGAAGCTATTTCTTGATTTAAGGCATTGGCTTGTTGGCTGATATTCATACAGAGGATGGGCCAGAGATGTCAGTGCCTTGGTCCTTTCATTATAAGCTGCTACTTTCCAACTGATGTCAGGTGGTGCAATACCTGCTAAACATATAATTTCTCCAGCAGTGTTAGGCATAGACATCATGTGATAATGGGGACATGTCTCATTAAGAGCCACATTCACTGATTTGTCATAATTCATCATTATTGAGCCTGGGAAGTTCTTCCAAATGTTTTATAATTTTCATGGCCCCAACTGTCATCAACAATAGTCAGGGATGGTAGAAATTGTAGCAAAAAATATTGGTGGATGGCTAGGTTGGGAAAAGGTATCGTAAGTGATAGTGAGCATGTCAGCCATGTTTCATCCATTCTTTCATCTGAATTTACAAATCTGTCCCTTAAAGGTCTGTGTTCCTGCTCGTTTGCATTAGTAACTGCTCCGACGAGTGATCTTTTCTTCTGAATGATATAATGTTAGACAACCGTTACATAGAATTGCAGTGGCAGCGTCTATGAAGTGTGATGGGGACATAGAAACTCCTGTGTTTGAGTAATATGGGATACAAAATAGTTATAAGTAGAGTGAAGATGGCATTTGTATGTATACACATAAATAAAGGTAAACTGAATTTAACCTCCTACACTACTGGAGAAATTACACTGTTTAGCTGGTATTGCACCATGTGACATCCGCTGGGAAGTAGCAACCAATAGTGAAAGGACCAAGGCAGTGACATGTCCAGCTCCTCCCATTTGGGTATCAGCAGGCATGTCAATGACTTAAATCAAGAAATAGTTTTCTAAGATCTACAGAGCCACTCGCTGGAACACCTCAGCAAGCAAGAGTCCAAAAGTGGCAGGCTCAAACCCAGAACCTCAATCAGTGGCTGATACCAGATGAGAGACTCCCCCCTGGTCATACAGAAAACTGGGCAGCTTGGAAGGCGCTGAACAGACTGCGCTCTGGCACCATGAGATGCAGAGCCAACCTTAAGAAATGGGGCTACAAAGTGGAATCCACGACATGCGAGTGTGGAGAAGAGCAAACTACAGACCACCTACTGCAATGCAACCTGAGCCCTGCCACATGCACAATGGAGGACCTTCTTGCGGCAACACCAGAGGTACTCCAAGTGGTCAGCTACTGGTCAAAGGACATTTAATCAACTACCAAGCTTGCAAACTTTGTGTTTTGTTTGTTTGTCTGTTTGTTAAAAAACACAATGCAACTGTTTGGTCTACTCCTGACACGATAAATAAAATTTAACCTCCTTTATTAACTTGCATTGTTGTGTGTTTATGTCCAATTAATAACTATTTATTTTTAAAATCGTGTCATTTGCTGTTTCACTTACCTTAAAGTTTATCTCACAGATCCCTGAATTTAGAGCAGTGTTGCAATGTATAGCCTATACAGTGCATTTAAAACAAAGACAAGCAGGCTTACTGTTTGAATCCTCAGTCACTGTAATTTCTGTTACTTTTTCCATTAGGGAAGCCAGGTTTTTTTTTAATTGGTTAACGTCAACTACTCACAAGTGAAACATTCCCATACTCCATCCATGTGTGGTGTTATTCAATTATTCAACCCACATTCCCCCCCTTTCTTTTTCTCTCTTTTATATTTATTTCTTTTGTTCCCTAAGAACCAATACCATCTCAGGAAGAAAGTCCAAAAAGAAGAGGATTTACATATGATGAACTAAGGAACAGAAATAGAGAGATGTACGAGGCAGGAATAACACAGAGATCAGAGGTTCCATCAAAGGCATCCCAGGAAATGCCATTGAAGAAGGAAGGTAAATTGTTAAATTGCTGAAATATTTGGTAATGACATCTGCAGCGGTTGCGTCAAGGACATGGGAGTTTTGTGTTTAATCTTGCCTTTCCACTGGGGACTGGCAGCATTGTAAAGAGTAAACAAGTCTTCTTTGAAAAAACTGATTTTATGCCTGTTTCCTTTCATTGGAATGACCTGATTTATCGCTGGGTACCATTCACTCAGACTGAGATAAATTAACCCAGGTGTCCCTTTTCTATTCTTTGAGCCTGAAGAAATCAGCACAGTAAATTGGTCTAGATCAGGTGTCTGGAAACAGCCAGCTTTTTGAATGGTTGTTTTTAATTAACTTTTGAATTCATAGCAGAACTCAGAAGGATGTGCCATTGTTTAATTCTGTTTACCCTTGGACTGAAAGGAAACTGTACTTGGCACCAAATGTGAGACTGTGCTTTACTGAATAGAAAAAAAATCCGGTACAAAGAAACAAAGACTAAAATGAGCTAGAAAGTCATACTACCTGTCATTTAATAGAAAATAGTATCTGAATGAGAATATATTCTGTCTTTGAGTATACTCACCAAGTCAAATGTAAGGCATTGTATTTTTATACAGGAAAAGCATTGGGTGAAGTAATTTATAACATGTCCCCAAAATGTGCATATATACTTATATACTTAAGCCGACCTGATTATAAGACAAGGCACCCAATTTTACTACAAAAAACTGGGAAAACGTATTGACTTGAGTATAAGGGTGTGAAATGCAGCGGCTACCGGCAAATCTATATAAATAAATATGAAATGTTCTTTTGTGGGATTAACGTAACTCAAAAACCACTGGACAAATTGACACCAAATTTGGACACAATACACCTATCAGGCCAATGAGTGTCCATCATTCATAAAAACATTGAAAAACACAGCGGAGGAGACTTTAAAAGCCAAAAAACAAAAAAAAAACCCATTACAACGCATGTGCAAAACCACATATATAGACAAACACACATTCACAAATATATACACATACATGCACATATATATATATATATATACACACAAAACACATATACACAGAAAGGGGAAAGAAAGGAAGGAGGGAGGGATATAAAGAGGGAAAGAAGGAGGGAAGGAGAGAAAGAAAGAAAGGTAGTGAAGGAAGGAAGGAGAGATGGAAATAAAAAAGTGAAAGAAGAAAGGGAAGAGAGAGGGAAGGAAGGAAAGAAGGACAAAAGAGAGAAAGAGGGAGGGAAGGAAGGAAAGAGAGAAGGAAGGATGGAACCAAAGAGCAAAGGGAGAGAGGAAAGAGAAATAGGTAGAGAAGGAAGAAACAAAAAGGGAAAGAAGAAGGAAAAGAAAAAGAGGGAGGGAAAGAAGGAGAGAAAGAAAGGAAAAAAGAGGGAGGAAAGGTTTGGCCACAGTCACTCATAAAAACACTGAAAAACACAGTGGAAGAGACTTAAAAAGCCAAATAAATAAATAAATACATTACAACGCATGCGCATAGCCACATAAATACACATATACGCAAATATATAAATACACATATATACACACACAAAACACGTATACACAGACTGGGCCACAGCAACGCGTGGCAGGGGACGGCTAGTTTCAAAATAAAAATAGATACCAATAAAATTACATGAATTGAGGCATCAGTAGGACAAATGTTTTTGAATATTTACATAAAACTGTAATTTAAGATAAGACTGTCCAACTCTGATTAAACAATTATTGTAACCTCCTTCAATGTAAATTTGCTTACGTATCCTTCCAATAATAATAAAGAGAGTAAAATAATAAATGTAATAAAAATTAATAATAGAGTAAAATGTAAAAAAATAAATAACCTCGACTCAAGTATAAGCTGAAAAACTTGGCTTATACTTGAGTATATACAGTAGATATCCTCAGCAGTTTATAAATCTGGAATTCTTTTGGATCCCCATCCCCACCCCCATTCTTTAATACAATAAGATTCCAATTAATACCAAAGTGTCAGGAAATTACTAGGACAACTTCAAATGATGTTTGCAAATCTGTGCTTTAATATTGTGATCAGTGCATTGTTACAGGGACAATTTGGACATGTTCCATAAAACTGTACTTAAAGATGGAATTTATAACTCTGATTAAATCTTTATTATAGTGGAGAGCCTTGGGTACCAAAACCTGTATATGCTCAAGCCCCGTTATGTACAATGGTGTCAGTAAAGTTGTGCCCTTTATAGAACATGGCAAAAATCAAGGTTTGCTTTTGGGATGGTGGAATCCGTCGATATAGAATTCATGGTTATAGAGGATTGGTGATATAACAGCTATTCTTCCAATATAAATGAAATAGCTTTCAAATAATCACTATAGCTACTAGTGAGATCTCAAGGGGTATATACATTTTTGGGGTACACTCTGTGTGTGTGTGTRTGTRTGTGTRTGTRTGTATATATATGTGTGTGTRTRTRTATATATATATAKAKAKAKAGAGAGAGAGAGAGAGAGAGAGRAGCTACAAGCAATAGTGCCCTCCTCCTGTTGAGAAGRGAAATTCACTAATGAATTAGCTGGTTGTACTGTTGTGGTAATCAAAGTTAGCAAGTCCAGTGCTGTGCCAGATACTTTTCTGGCAAGAGGTCATTTTGTTCTTAAAAGATATTAGAAGGCCTGGAAAAAATGGGGAAAAAACAGGGAAAAATGAAGGGGGAGGGAATTGGGGAAAAACATGCTCCCCCCCCTCCCCCGCAATTTTCTGTTTTTTCTTCTTCTGGGCCTTCCCATCTCTAGTTCTTAATATTCACATAGTTAATAAGCACCTTTGTGTACTACTGTATGTGTTTTCTTTTGTAGGCAAAGTCAACAAGTATGGAGATTCCTGGGAAGAATGAAAATCTTTGTACCTTCTGAAGACATCTCATCAATCAAATAATCCAGCTTTACTATCAGTGTGGGTTAAATATCAGAATATTCTGTATTCTGTGCAATGCAGATATGTGACAATAAAAATCTTAAGCTTGCCTTTTTCACTTGTGTGTTGAGATTGGATCAAGCTAAAATTGTTTAATTTTCAAGAAACCAATTAAATTTTTTAATAAAAAAACACCAAAAATTTAGACAATTTATAGTCAAATTTGTGTACTACACTTATCCTTACATTTTAGTTTTGGTTAGGGACACAGGATCTCTGCATGAATATCTCTAGGCCTTCCCCCAATATATTTAACACAAAAAATACCTGTACACAACAGAATCTTGTAGAATCCGTCCTGAGTCCCTTTGGGGAGATAGAGTGGAATATAAATATATTATTATTATTATTATTATTATTATTATTATTATTATTATTATTATTATTATTATTATTATTGTAGCATCTGAACAAAGCAGACTAGGGGCCAATCCGCATGGGCCAGTGAGTTGGCCTGGGGCTGGATGGACTTTGTGGTATCTACATGATTTTTTGTTATTGTTGTTGTTGTTGTGTCAAGAGTGACCTGAGAAACTGCGCTGCTTCTGGTGTGAGAGAACTGGCCGTCTGCAAGGACGTTGCCCAGGGGATGCCCGGATGTTTTGATGTTTTATCATCCTTGTGGGACGCTTCTCTCATGTCCCCACATGAGGAGCTTGAGCTGATAGAGGGAGCTCATCTGCTTCTCCCCGGATTCGAGCCTGCGACCTATTGGTCTTCAGGGGTTTAACCCACTGCGCCACCGGGGGCTCCTCATCCACATGATGATTGAGATCCATTTGACATAGCATATGAGAAGGCCACATAACCTTGTCCTGTGTTTTTAAAAGTTGTGAAATACTTATCTGCATTTTGGGCCATTGTGAACAGTTGTACTGCTTCCTGTTTGGGAAGTGGCTTTACACCACCATCCCACTTTCCCCATATTCAGGCACCCTGGGAACAGGGAATGGCACCTGCCTCATTTTGGGCTTTTCAGTTCAGTGGAATGGATCTCACCTATCATTTGTTGTTTAACTGCGATTCTATAGTTCATATATGTTCGGAACTCCAGTTTTAGGTTCCAAATCCAAAAACCAGAGTATTTGCTTGCAATAGAAGTAATCCTGTTAAAAGCTTTGGAGGTTCGTTCAAAAACAAAAATCAATGGCAAATATATTAGCGTAATTTTATTTAAAATTGATTATAAACATTGTGTATAAATGCAGTTTTTTAAAAAAAATAAGTGAGGCCATATTTGAATATGAGTACCATGACAAAATGATGTCTTCCATGTTACCTGAAACAGAAAAGAAATATCTATTAATGTTTTACTTACAACATGTTTAAGCTAATCTTGGTCAATATGGACATGACATCAGGATAGTATACAAAAAGAGCACTAATCCACCCTTTTGATGTTAAAGCAGAAATTCATAGGTGTGAGGGGTTCTTTTTTTCTGGTCAAGCAGAATTAATGGCTAAAATGCAATAATCCTATATAGGCAGTATAGGGGTAGATTTTTTTTCACTTCCTGTTTCTCACCCCCATTCTTAACCATGAGTCATTTGTAAGTTGGATGTTTGTCGCTCGGAGACTGTATTATGTTCATCTATATAAATAAAAATGTAATGTTCGTTTGTGGGATTAACAGAACTCAAAAACCACTGAACGAACTGACACCAAATTTGGCAGCAAAACACATTCTAATCAGATCTATGTCTATCAAACAAAAAAATGTAAAAGCTGAAGGGGAAATAACTTAAAACTTCCCAAAAAGAAAAATGCCTTACAGAGCATGCACAAAAGCCCCTCTCCCCATTGCGCAAGAAGAATGAAGCACCAGCCATTGTGAGGGAAGAGAAGCCTCGCCATGGAGTCCCTTTCCATACAGGAAGGCAGAGTCCGTTTTCTTTTGGGGAGGGGAGTGATTGAGGAAAGGAAGGAGAAGGCCTGGCCAAACAGAGGGGTGGGGGCTTGGCGAGGCAAGCCCCGGCAGCAGCTGAAGCCACCGCAGCAGCTCCATGAGGCCCATGTGGCTACCAGGCAACTCTTCCCCCAAGACCAGAGGATTGCAAGGCAAGCCTGACTGCAGGAGCGGCTGCACACCTCCCCTCCCCCCTGGTTGGGTGAAGGGAGGATGCAACCATGAGAAGGCCAGCAACAACTCTCCCACTTGGGCTCCACATCCCCCCTTTCACCTCCCCCCCCAAAAAAAAACCCCTTTAAAAACCTTTACAAACTGTCCCAGAGGAAGGAGGGGAGAGAAAGGTAAAGGAGAGAAGAAAGGAAGAAAAGGATTGGTGAAGAGAAGAGAAGATTATGAATGGAAGGAAAGGTAAAAGGAAAGAAAGAGGAAGGAAGGAAGGAAGGAAGGAAGGAAGGAAGGGGGAAACTGGTGAAGGGAAGAGACGAATATAGAATCAGAGAGTCCTAGAGTTGGGAGACACCTGGTGGGCCATCCAGGCCAACCCCCTTCTGTGAAGAAGCAGGAAAATCACATTCAAACCCCCAGCAGATGGCCACCCAGCCTGTTTCAAAGGGGCTTTTTTGAGTGTTTTGGCCAGCATGAATATAACTGAAAAGCCTTGCAGCTTCTCATTACATTATTTTCCATTCCACCTTGCACCTTAACAGCCTGGCTTCTACTAGCCAGCAGGAAACCTTTGGTGGGAGGAGTTCCCTAGCCCAAATTGCTTCATGTCTGCAAATCCTCTGTTTTCTGAGGGCCACAGCAACATGTGGCCGGGTACAGCTAGTTAGATAACTATTTCTAAAGCGTGACATAGAAGAAAACAAATGATCTTGCAATATTTCCAATTTTCAGAACCTCTTACTTTAGTGATGGTTTTGAAAAACACGTTAATATAGCATACATTTGAAACACTGGATGCTTCATAGTATGAAGATGAGTAATCTTCCCATACCAAATTAAAGCAGCTTTAAATGTGATTGAAAAACCACCACCAACAACAAGTGAATGTAATTTTGAAATCTACTTAAGAGGCAATTGTTAAAAGGAAACAGATGCAGGCTATAAATACAGACTTTATAATGTTATGTTACGGCTATCACTTCCACAAACTATTCATTTAGCTTCAATTCACTTGTCTTGAAACCAATTTCAAACTTGTGAGAATACTTGAAAGATAAGCAGGACTTTGCCCTCTATTGCGTATTATTGTTAAATAATAATCTAACACACAATAGCTAGTCTGAAGCATTTTCTCTCCCACGTATGATGCATGTCAAAGTAAAGATAGGAAAGCAATGTAGGAAGGGGAGGAAACACTAAAGTAAAGGCGTGTATTCCAGGCTGGGAATGGAAATTCTTACATTTCTTGCCAATTCTTTATGAAATGCCAACAATACATAGGGAGTGTGTGTGTCTATTTAAAATGTTATAGTTTGAGGACATCTTTAAGGACAAATTTAATACACTAGAACAGGCATGGACAAACTTTGGCTCTCCAGGTGTTTTGGACTTCAACTCCCACAATCCCTAACAACTGGTAGGCTGTTAGGAATTGTGGGAGTTGAAGTCCAAAACACCCGAAGGTCTGAAGTTTGCCCCTGCCTGTGCTCGAATCAGAAATATCACAATCTGGTGTTGTTTCTTTGAAAAATCTCGATAATATTTTATTACTACAGAAATCACTTAACTAAATCTGCAAAATAACAATGACTGCCCATGCAATTGTTCTATAACTGATTTCTGAAAAGCTTGAAATGTTATTAAAAGTTTTGAAATTTCATAAATATGTACCTGCTTTAAGAAACAGAAGGCTGTGGTTTTTCCAGCTGGCTTGCTTTATTCTTAGCCTTACACTCCTCACACATGTGATGACAATGCCTAAAGACATTGGGAGGAATTTAGAAAAACATTGCATCAAGAAGTTTTCCAGAGAAGCAAACCTGAGATATAAGTGCCCCCAACACAGAGATCTTCACATGAATACAGTAGAGACTTTGTACATGGTGTCTTTAAATGAAGAATTGACGAAATTGGCCTTAAGACACCAAAAGTGATTTTACTATGGTGGAAGATCCAAGGTATATTATACATTGATTCTATGTATCTGCATGATCACAGTTTGGGTATACTACAAATAGCCATACTGCTTGCCATTCTTATAAACAGAAGGCCCTTGATCTAGTAAAAAGATAAAGGTTTCTGCTGACATTAAGTCTTGTCGTGTCCGACTCTGAGGGTGGTGCTCATCTCCATCTTGTAAGTCAAAGAGCTGGCATTGCCCGTAGGCACCTTCAAAGTCATGTGGCCAGCATGACTGCATGGAGCATCATTATCTTCCCACCTTTTGATCTCACATTTGCATGTTTTAAAACTATTATCTTGGCAGAAGCTGGGGCTAACAGTGGGAGCTCACCTTGCTCCCTGGTCAGCAAGTTCAGCAGCTCAGCGGTTTAACCACTGCACCACCAGGTTAAAGAAGGGGGACTACGCAATTTTCATTGACTACAATACACAGCTAGAAGTTTCCATGCTGCCTCCAATACCGTTCTGATCATTCTCCCTACTCTCCGGCGCAGATTTCCTGTGGTGATGGGGCAAAGATGTGAAAATCGACCCTTCCCCCAATAAATGCATGCGAGGAAAGCCTCCCCCTCTCCCATCTTTGGAATTTGAGTATCCCCTTCTCTCATTATGTTTTTCTATATGCGAGGATTATTGCATAGGATTCCCTGTTGTTGTCTCCTTCCTGTGAATGGGGACACAAAAGCTGTTTCATTGTTTATTAATATGCACTCCCCTTCCTCATCCCTCCAATGGGAAATGATTTATTTAATGTTCACAGAATATTTCAGCTAATATTTAAAGTTTTCTTGAGAATGTGTTCTGGAAAAAGTTTATACCTGCTTTCAGATTATGGTATTCTGAATCATAGTTTAGAATCAGAGGTATAAGCAGGCACAACCCCTAGAATCCTCCTTCTCTTGGGCTGTAAATTGCATATCAGGATTAAACTATAATTTGTCCAAAACACAGTTTCATAACTTTGAACAAAGCAGTATATAAACTATCACTAAACTAAATATAAAAGCCTAACTGCTCCATGTAGAAAGATATATATATCTTGTGTATATGTGTGTATATATGTGTGTGTGTGTGTGTGTGTGTGTGTGTGTGTGTGTGTGTGTGTGTGTGTGTGTGTCTTGTAAGCCTCTCTGAGTCCCCTTCGGGATGAGAAGGGCGGCACATAAATGCTGTTAATAAATAAATAAATAGGAATTTGTGACCTAAGGCCCATCTGTCACTACAACCAACAATTACACTATGTAACAAAATTTGCAAAAAAATTCTGTTCCTGTTTTCAAAGTGTTATTCCTGTTTAATTGTGTGGTACTTACTTTGAAAGTAGTTGTTATACTGCAGAGACTTCGTTTTTGTGGCTGCCACAAACTATATTGAATTAGTTGAGATTCTAAGACAGGCATGTGTTTTAAGACTTCAACTCTCACAACTCCTAACAGCCGGTAAACTGGCTGGGGTTTCTGGGAGTTGAAGTCCAAAATACCTGGAGGGACAACGTTTGCCCGTGTCTGCTCTAGGAGATATTCTTACCTGTCCGAACGCATCTCCCCTTATGAACCTTCCAGGACGTTAAGATTGTCTGGGGAGGCCCTGGTCTCGATCCCGCCCTTGTCACAAACACGGCTGGCAGGGACGAGAGACAGGGCCTTCTCAGTGGTGGCCCTTCGGCTATGGAACATCCTCCCAAAGGATAACAGATTGACCCCCTCCCTTGGCTTTTTTGAGCAAGCATTTGCAAGTACAGTGTAACTGACATAAAAATATGGAATGATTAGACGATGTGATTGGAGACGCTAATGGTATATGTTTGTTACTGACTTTGCTATGATTTTATATTATTTTAATGTTTTTTATGGTGTTGGTACCGACTGTGAACTGTCCCGAGTCACCTGCGGGCTGAGAGGGACAGTATATAGATATAGTAAATAAATAAATAATAAATAATAAATAAAAACTATAGCAAAATGTGCTGCAGGATGTACCGCAAAAACAGTTTCATAAACTTTCCCATGTTTTATGGTAGAACCAATTAGGAAATGACATTTATAACCCAGGAACAAAAATCATGTTACACGGTGTTATTTAATGCAGGGGTGGGAAGTGAGCAGGCATCCACATTTTGTTAAGCTAAGCCTCCCAGCAGCCCCACCAACATAGACAATAGTAAAGGACACTGGGAACTGCAGTCCAGCAATATCTAATCGGTCATATGATTTCCATTCCTGACTAGGTGACATTTGACCAGCCCCTCCAGGGACAAAAGTATTCAAAAAGTTATATTTATGACCAAGTTCCTATCCGGATTTTCTGAACTATGGTACTGAAATAATAGGAAAAAGAAAGTAAGCTTGTAGCCATACAACGATGCATTTCTAACATGCACTCAACATGCTACTTTAAGAAAGCAAAGTATTATCATCCAAACCATTTTCGTCCTGGGCCAGGAAACTGCACACCAGCCTGTTCAAACTTCTTCTGGCATGTTCTTATATACGACATTGTCCCAACAGCAAAACCCAGGACACCAGCAACTGCCAGGAGGGGAAAGGAAAGAATTATGTTCATATTTAAATCAAATTGAAATACAATAGGATTTTATTGTGTATTTTATATTGTATTTAATAATCTGGCGTTCATGTATTTATCTAGTCGAGTCGCCCTAGGGCTGAGAGCGGCGGTCAACAAATGCAAAATGCAAAAATCTATTTGCCTTGTATGTGAAAGACCTATGGTCTGAGCATCGAATAAACTGAACTGATAGTAAAACGGCATAGCGTTGGTTCTTTTCAAAAACAAGAAAGCCATATTGGCTCTGGGGTCAAGCCTTTGGAGATTAATTACAAAGTAATAATAGCTACGGAATTATACGCAATGACTTTTGGAATAGCCCCGGATTACAATTGTGGATGGCATGATTTTTTAGTAGCGATTGTAATGTTTTATATGTTTTTAATGTGCATTTAATTTAAAATCTTTCACTTAATGTATTTTAACTGTTTCTTATTCAAAGGCATTGAATAGTTGCCATATGTAAAGCCGGCTTGAGTCTCCTTCAAGGTAGAAAAAGTCAGAATACAAATAGAGTAAATAAATAAATATGTAGGCAATATGTCTTCATGTAACAGTATTCACAAGATATGAAATAGGATCAGATTGCAGTTTCCTGTTTGTTTGCTTTTTGAAAAAAAGCTGCACGAAAGAGCACATGCACAAAGTTCATCAACTGATGGCAATTCTGGGGAAGAGGGCAGGAGTAGGTCTACCTTCAGGGCCACATTGTGAAAAGACAAATGCAGCCACCAAAGCTATTGAGCAAACACTGCACTGATGATGTAAAAGGTAACATTTTCCGCTCATTATCTTTACATGTTGCAGGGAAAGTGCAGGACAAGGGGCTTGTGTATCAAACACCACAATGAGCAACAAAGGCTTAGTTATTCTTAATGGCAAGGGGTGGGGATATCATATAAATTTCATTGTGAAATAATTTAAAAATCATTAAATGATTTTCAACAACTCATAACTACGAACAGGGTTGAGACAACAGGAAGTGAGAAAAATCTACCTCTAGGAAGGGAAATTCACTTATGAAAGAGTTGTCATGGGGAAAAGGTGTCTCCACTGAAGCTTTATCACCAATCCTTGTTTCCACGACAAGCCATTTTTTTTCAAAATCCAATGATCACAGGGACACAAAGTGAAGTGAAATCTTCTGAACAGGGACACAGACAGCAAAACAAACACTACAAAAGTATTAACCCTTCCCTATGCTATCCAAAGCTTATATATAGTTGGAGTTAACTTTTTGAATGTACCGATTCCGACTTAAACACAAATTCAACTTAAGAACAAACCTATAGAGCCTATCTTGATTGCAGTTTGGTGACTGCCTGTATATGCCCCAGGGATAGCATTCTAGTAATGTTACATTCCAATAATTGGAATTTACATCAACTGGCATTTCCAAACCTGATTATCTTCTTTCTCTTAGCTTTAGAAATAGACTTTGGACTTACGTGCCATTTTAGGTAGAGGTCCAAGTTTAGGATTCGGTTTTAGGACACCTAGAATAAGATGCAGTAATTACAAAAGGTCACATATTTCATCATTCAATCATGTAGCAAGAGAAAAATATTATCAAGTGTACAAAGTGCTCCTATTATTTTTCCTAATTGTAAGTTTGTTACTCCAGTCTTCACATGATAGCAATGGCTTGTTTACCTATGTGAAATGAATTTATTTTGAAGGCTTCCTTCTTGAATAGAGATTCTTAACAGAAGGATCCTTGTCTTTCAATGACTGAGCCACAGTCTTTTAAGTTATCAGTGTAAACAGTTGTCTCTTATTTACAGTTAGATCGTCACCTTTCTCAATTAAAAAAACACCAATTGGCAAACTATAAGAAATTTGAGGCCCAGAGGTGTTGCTGAAATTTAAACATGATGTTCAAGGCCAGGATATGGTTTTGCTTCATGTTATAAAAATATGTTGTGGGCGGTCTTGAAAGGTACTATGGGATATATCTGCGGCACACATTGGGGACCTCGGCTACAAACGTATCTAGAGAATGGTGAGAAAGGGTATTTATATCTTGTTAAATATTATTATTTTCCAATAATAACAAATGTATTACCTGCCTCTCACTGTGGCTGTGATAACCCTTTGCAACTGTTACAGTATGTCACTATGTTCAACCAATATGCAAAGAAGCAAGCAAACTATCACTGCTCCCATTCCATTGCTTTCCATTATGAAAGCTGACCGGCACAACCTGGGGATCACAACCAGACACAGTGAAGACATCTTCCCTTCAACTTTGCTATTCTGCTGCTGAGTATGCATGCCCAGTGTGGAACACATCTCACAACATTAAAACAGTGGATGTGTCTCTTAATGAGACATGCTGCATTATCACAGGATTTCTATGCCATACACCACTGGAGAAACGATACTATTTAGCTGGTATTGCACCACCTGACAACTGTCAGGAAGTAGCAACCTGTAATGAAAGGACCAAGGTATTGTTATCTCCAGCTCAGTCTCTATTCAGATATCAGCTAGCATGCCAACAACTTAAATAAAGAAATAGCTTCCTAAGATCTACAGATATACTCACAGGAACATTTCAGCAAGTGAGAGTCCAAAAGTGGCAGGATAAAACCAGGAACCACAATCAGTGGCTGATACCAGGTGAGAAACTCCCTGAACTGACTGCACTCTGGCACCACGAGATGCAGAGTCAATCTTAAGAAATGGAGCTACAAGGTGGAGCCCACAACATGCGAATGTGGAGAAGAGCAAACCACAGACCACTTGCTACAATGCAGCCTGAGCCCTGCCACATGTACAGTGGAGGACTTTTCAGCGACAACAGAAAGACTGGAAGTGGCCAGCTTCTGGTTCAAGAAAATTTAGTATAACACCAAGTTTTAAACTTTGTGGTTATTGAATAAATTATAACTGTATTCTCAATTTTTTTCTGACAAATAAAAATAAAATTTCATTGCTTTCCTCATGTAGAGAACGAGAAACCAAAATGGATGAGCATCTTCTACAACTAGTGTAGATACACTGAATCAATAAAAGTTAGCCAATTGGGTCTTCTGTGGCTGGCACTAAGAATTAGATCTTGACCTTGGAGTTTATGGTTCAGCTAGAATGAGCTGCCTACCCCTTTTGTCAAAACACAGCAGTTCATTAGTCATGATTCTACAAAGTTTTTGTTCACGTTTTTAACTTTAAAAAAATGAAGAGAAAAAAAGGATTTACCTTGGCCAACCAGTCCTTGAACAACAAGCATACTTCCCAAAGACAGAGGAAGAGCTGCAAACAATGAAAGATCAAATAATTATAGTCTTTTCAATATTTTGAATGCACTCCACCCTCAAAACCCCCAGAAGAGTTGAACGATGTTCTTAAATCGATTCAGTATCCTTGCTTCCCACAACAATTCCGAACTCTTGGATGAAAAGTGAAACTATGGTAAAAATTGGTAACATATTTTGAATTGGCGTTTGTATTTTTAACCGTGTTACGTGTTAATTTGTTGACGTATTTTAATTGCTCTCTGTCTTGATCCACAAGGAGAGGCCAGAAAAACAAACAAATAAACAAATATATAATGTACTTTTAAAAATGAATGTTCTTTTGTCAATTACACGATGCCATTCTCCATTTTTTGGAAGTATTTTGTACCTACTGAAAAAGCGAGCTTTTTTTTTTTTTATATTAATAATAATAATAATAATGTATTGTTGAAGGCTTTCATGGCCGGAATCACTGGGTTGTTGTAGGTTTTTTGGGGCTATATGGCCATGTTCTAGAGGCATTCTCTCCTGATATTTTGCCTGCATCTATGGCAAGCATCCTCAGAGGTAGTGAGGTCTGTTGGAACTAGGAAAAAGGGTTTATATATCTGTGGAATGACCAGGGTGGGACAAAGGACTCTTGTCTGTTGGAGCTATTCACACCTAGTTCCAACAGACAAGAGTTCTTTGTCTCACCCTGGTCATTCCACAGACATATAAACCCATTTTCCTAGTTCCAACAGACCTCACTACCTCTGAGGATGCTTGCCATAGATGCAGGCAAAACGTCAGGAGAGAATGCCTCTAGAACATGACCAAATAGCCCCCATAGCCCAAAAAAACCTACACAACCCAGTTTTTAGGACTATTTGTCTATCTGTTTTTTTTTCCCTATTTTTTTCCTTCTAACCATCCCCCAATGTTTTTTTTTTTCCTTTTTGTATATTTTTACACTCTAGGCCGGCCCACAGTTCAGTTTTTTTTTTTTCAACCTTTAGATTACAACCAGTAATTATTTTTTTTTATTCATCAACTTGCCCCACAGTCCCCCGCTCAGAAATGCTAATAGCTTGAGGTTTCTCCGGGAGCAAAATCCCCCCCAAAGGAAATTCTGGGAGATATGAATGTTTGAGACTCCCTATCTTGAGGCCTTTAAGTGTGGATAAAGCAGTTTAGATTCTTTGCTTTAGAAGGAGCCCAACGCCCGGCTCCCCTTTTTGTTTTTTGTGGAAGAATTTTGGCAATAGAAACGGTGCCGTTTTTGGAATCAGCCGGTCAAATGTACTCAAAAACAGGACTAACATTTGAGGCACCAAAATGTGTGTTGGCCAGTGTTTCTATATTATACTAGCTCTACCCGACATGCGTTGCTGTGGCCAACCTTCCCTCCCTCCTTTTCTCCTTCTTCCTTTCTCTCTTTCCTTTCCCTCCCCTTTTTTTTTTCCTTTCCTTCCCTCTTCCTCTTTTCCTTCTCTCTTTTTCTTTCTTTTCTACTTTTTTCTTTTCCTTTGGTTTTCCTTATCTTCTTTTTCTTCTTCCTCCTTCTTTTCATCTCCTCCTTGTTTTTCTTCTCTCTTTTTTCCTCCTCCTCCTTTTCTTCTTTTCCTCCTCTTTTCTTCTTTTTCCTCCCCCTCCTTCTCTTTCTGCTCTTCCCCCTCCTTCTCTTCCTTTTTCTTCTCCCTTTTCCCCCTTCTTCCCTTCCTCCTTCTCTTTTTTCGTTTTTTGTGTGTGCATATAAGTTTTGTGTGTGTATGTATGTGTATATGTGTATATATGTGGTTTTGTGCATGTGTTATAATGTAATTTTTATTTTTTTGCTTTTTAAGTCTCTTCTGTGTTTTTCAGTGTTTTTATGAGTGATGGTCACTCGTTGGCCTGATAGGTGTCTTGTGTCCAAATTTGATGTCAATTCGTCCAGTGGTTTTTGAGTTATGTTAACCCCACAAATGAACATTACATTTTTATTTATATAGATTTGATTTTTATCTACTATTTTTATACGCCGTCCCTCTCTACCCCGAAGGGGACTCCGAGCAGCTCACAAAGGATCCGGGATTGTTTAGGGGAGCTCAACTCCATTTGCATAAGCCCTATTCATTAAAGATAGACTGAGAAAAAAAAACATAATGCCTTTTTAGAGACTAAATTACTACTAGTTAGGACTCTCAGACCGCAGAGCTAAGCCCCTTTTTAGACCCACTAGGAACTGTTTTTTTAAGTTCCTTGAAAAGAAGAATGTTCCCTGTGTTTTTACCTGACAGATCGATGAGAGCACCTACATTCAAATTCCTTATGCTGTGACTGAATTTATGATACAAAATACTGTTAAATACCTGGGAAAAATTAACCTGTGAAGTTTTTTGTGGAGTAAACCAACTATGTTTTATTTTAAAGTAACTTTATTTTTTTGAGTCTCAAAACTATTGTCCTGAATTAAGAATTGTTTTTTTTTTTTTTAAGGGAAGAAATAGGATTTTTTGTTTTTTTTTTTTCGGAGCGCGTAAAAGACATTTTCCTGAAACTGGGTTAATTTTGGGTATAACGAATTGCATTTTGTGGGCATGGGGCACATTTTCAAAAGAGATTCTGAGTATACACACCGGGATGGTGGTGCAGCTGGCTGAGTGTCAGCTGCATTAAGATCACTCTGACCAAAAAGGTCATGAGTTCGAAGCCAGCCCGGGTTGGAGTGGGTTTCCAACCAATTGTGTGTAGCCTGTTGTCGACCTTTGCAACCCGAAAGACAGTTGCATCTGTCAAGTAGAAAAATAAGGTACCACCTTAAAGTGTGGGGAGGCTAAATTAACTGATTTATGAGGCCATAAAGAAGACTCCAGCAAAGCATTCCAGCGGGGAAGCATGCGGGGAATGCGGAAGTGCTTCATCAGCGTCGCAGATGGACGATGAAAGCAACAGCCAGAAAAAAGTTAAATAGCCTCTGTGTATGTCTGTATATGTTTGTATGTCAAAATTGGCATTGAATGTTTGCCATATATGTAATAATAATAATAATAATAATTATTATTATTATTATTATTATTATTATTATTATTATTTATTTGATCAGTCATATGACCATTTCAAGTTTGCCATATATGTATACACTGTAATCTGCCCTGAGTCCCCTGCAGGGTGAGAAGGGCAGAATATAAAAGCTGTAAATAAATAAATAAGTAAATAAATAAATATTAGTTTAATAGCCAAGAAACCTAATTGCCTTGCATGAATGGTAGTAGATATTTACCACTAAGGAAAAGGTTGACTCAAGAAAGTTTTTAACTCTTTTCAGGGAGATTCCAGATTTTCCCAAATGGTAACGAATGCCATTTTCCAAAAGGTTCTGGAGACTTCCATTTCCCAAAAGGCTATGGCATCATTTTCCCAAAAAGGTTATGATTTCTAATAAGGTCATGCCTTTCCAAAACTTTTCCACTAGTCAGTTGGGTTGAAGCAACAAGATTGGGAAAGGAATCCATGTCTTGCGTTATAGAGCATAAGTGGTAATTGTGCTTTTGTTTATTTGTTTCCAAAGAATAATCCTTCACATACAAATGTCCTCAATCCGTGTGATTTAAAGTACTGAAAGACATTGTCTACCATAGCTCCACAGCCCCCGGCCCAAAGAGACAATGGTCATAAACAAAAGGGGAGGTTCATGTCACATTTGCAAAAAGGAGAGACTTGTGTTGGTGGGACATATTTACATGTAGTGTCACAATCATGTGACAAACACAATGCCCACAAATGAACTGATATGTACTACTTTCCTCTTTAAGGTTTCTAAAATATCCAAGGCACACTTGAATGGGGGAGTGACAAGGAATGTCAAGAATCCGCGTGAATTGGGACAACACAAATCTGTATAGATCATCAGTCAGGATGACTCCTGAATTCAATTTTGGTCCCCTCTAACTAAAAGCTTCATAAAATAGGTTCTTTGTATTAGTATTCAAAGCCAAGCAGACTACTAAAAGGAAGCAAATGTTACAAGAAAAAGAAACAAATGGAAGGTCAGTTATATATTTCATTGCAATAAGAACAAAAGACTGTACCTCTGTACCAAAAACTTTCTTCTTTACACTGATTACGGATCTTTGCAAATTCTTCAGGATGAACATTTGTAATTGGACAAGGCCGTGAACCCTGAAATTCAAAAACATTTGGGGGAGAGGGCTGATAAAAATGATGAATTATAAACAAAAGTCTGCTTAAGGCTCTTTTCTTTGCCCCCTGCATTAGCATATATGATGTATTATTTAATTTTCTACTAGCTTGGGTACCCATCATTACCTGGATTATTTGAAAAAGTATTTCTTTAATTGTACAAAATGCATAAGGTTGTGGGTGAACTACAACTCACATCATGTCAGGTTAATCCAGAAACACTCCATCAGTGCTTAAAGTTTGTTATGTTGGGCAAGTCTGCTCTAGAGGCATCATTGGTGGGGTTCAGTGTGCTCTTTGGCTGTAGGGTAAACTGCAACTCCCTCTATGGTGAGTCAGTCCTCTCAAACTCCTCCAGTAGGTTCAGCTGGTCATGGGGTTCTGTGTGCCATGTTTGTCCAGGTCCATAATTGGTGGAGGTCACGGTTTTTCTGGTTGTGTGTGAACTACAACTTCCAGAGAGGAAAGTCAGTTCCTCTCAAACCCCTCCAGTAATAAAATTTCGGCATATCAGGTATGTGTGCCAAGTTTGGTCCATAACCACTAGTATTTGGGTACACAGTGCTCTCTGTATGTAGGTGAACTACATCATCATCGGTGGAGTTCAGTGTGCTCTCTGGCTGTAGGGTAAACTACAACTCCCACTATGGTGAGTCAGTCCCCTCAAACTCCTCCAGGAGCTTGAGTTAGTCATGGAGGCTCTGTGTACCAAGTTTGGTCCAGGTCCATCATCGATGGAGGTCACAGTTTCTCTGATTGTGGATGAACTACAGCTCCCAAAAATGAAGGACAGTTCCTCCCAAAACCCTCCAGTAATCAAGTATATGTTCCAGTAATCAGGTATATGTTCATCACAGGTATATGTTCTAAGTTTGGTCCAGAACCATCGGTGTTTGGGTTCACAGGGGTCTCTGGATGTAGGTGAACTACAACTCCCCTAAATCAAGGTGAATTTTCCCCAAAGACCTCCAGTATTTTTTGCTGGTCATGGGGGCTCTGTGTGCTAAGTATTGTCCAATTCCATCTTTGGTGGAATTCAGAGTGCTCACTGATTACAGGTGAACTATACATCCCAGTACCTACAACTCCAAAATGTCCAGGCAAATTCCCCTCAAAACCCACCAGCATTCAAACTAGGGTACATTGAGTAAGTATGCAAAGTTTGGTCCAGATATAGTTGATATAGATCCAAAGACCTCCAGTATTTTTTGTTGGTCATGAGGGTTCTGTGTGCCAAGTTAGTTCCAGGTCCATCATTGGTGGAATTCAGAATGCAGTTCTTAAACTGCAGGTGAACTATACATCCCAGTACCTATAAATCCTATAAATCATGGTGAATTCTCCCCCAAACCTCTCAAGTATGTTCAGTTGCTGAGCAATTTCTCTTGTTTGCTGTGTGCCATAGAAAAGAATAGGAAAGGGTTAAAGGAGAGGCAGTGGGCGGGGTCATGCAAATCCCACACCAATGGAGAGAGTAAGAAACACTGGGATGTCTGTGGTTGAGGGAACACATACAATCTAGGATGAAATTGTCCCCAAATGTAAGCCTTAACTTGGGTGGTATGCAGTATTGTGTTTGTGGAGGACCCCGGTGGTGCAGTGGGTTAAACCCCTGTGCCGGCAGGACTGAAGACCGACAGGTCACAGGTTCAAATCCAGGGAGAGGTGGATGAGCTCCCTCTATCAGCTCCAGCTCCTCATGCGGGGACATGAGAGAAGCCTCCCATAAGGATGATAAAAACATCAAAAAATCATCTGGGTGTCCCCTGGGCAACGTCCTTGCAGACGGCCAATTCTCTTATACCAGAATCGACTTGCAGTTTCTCAAGTCGCTCCTGACACGATAAAAAAAATGGCAGGGCTCTTGTTCATGATCATGGCACTCACTATAACTTGCAATGTCATCGGAGAGAGGACCATTGGTGTCTCCTGAGTAGTGGGAGCTATAGCTGTTTGTGAAGGCAGAAGCCTGTCTGTTTAAGTGGACACCCAGCCACATACACATACATATTTTCACTTTTATTATGTGTAGTAGCAAAGTTTATTGATTAGTCCACACCAATTTAAGGTGCTGGTACTATCCTACAAAGCCCTAAACGGTTCCGGCCCAAAATACCTTGCGGACCGCATCTCGGCCTACGAGCCCACGAGGACCTTGAGATCATCTGGGGAGGCCCTTCTCTCGGTACCGCCTGCCTCACAGGCACGTCTGGCGGGGACGAGAGAGCGGGCCTTCTCGGTGGTGGCCCCCCGGCTTTGGAACTCCCTCCCTGCTGAAGTTAGACAGGCGCCTTCCCTTATGGCCTTTCGTAAGGGCCTGAAAACATGGCTCTTCGAGATGGCCTTCAATTGAGTGCTATGTTACTGGAATTGACGACCGGAATGGACTGCGATTATGAGATGGATTGTGACCCTATGATACGACGAAGCGGATTTTTAGTATAGTAGTGTTATGTAGTAGTAGAATGTTGTGTATTGTTGATTTATTGTAAGCCGTCTTTTCTATGTTGTTGTACACCGCCACGAGTCGCCTCAGGGCTGAGAGTGGCGGTCTATAAGTGCAAGAAATAAATAAATAAATAAATAATATCAACATTAAAAACAAAAGCAGAAACGTACACCAATAGACAATAATCACTATCCTAAGACTCCCATAATAGTGAACTAACATACATTCAAACGATTAAGTTAAAAGATAATTAAAAATATCATCATTAAAATGCCAAGATCTGTATAGAAAGATCACTGCATTCTTGCCTGAAACTTTGGAAATGATTTTTAAACATTTTTTCAATAAAACACAGATTTAGTTTCACTTTGGCAAATAAAACAGAATATTTCAAAATATTCTGCCACTGTATTGAGAACGCTAGCCTTAATCCTGACTTCTGACTGGCAGCCTGACGCATCTATTCCATAAATTACACTAAATTTGAAAATAGGAAAAGTTTTGCCTGCTAACTATGCTATGCAATATGAAATGACAACCTGTGTGATTGAGTTTTAAATCTAACGCTGTTAGACACGTATACATTTCCCCCTTTGACCATTTATTCTCAGTTCTTCATATGTGACAGGATGTGAGTGCTGCTAGTCTTCTTCCTGTCTGTAACTTTTTTCTTTCTGAATTGTCTTGCTTTCAGTCACCTTCAGCCTCAAAGGGTAACCAAAGACTTATTGACACTTTCAGTGCTAATAAGATAAACGGGTGTGTGCTAGGCATGGGCAATCCATGGTTCTAAATGGTTCTTAAATACTTACAAAGCTAGGGGGCGCTGGTGCTTCTAAAGTGTTTCTAAAATTCTGGTGGTTAAAATTTCAAAACTCTTCAAAACGTTCAAAATGTTGTTATAAATGGCAGTTCCTAATTGGTTATGCAGTAAAAAATGCCAATAATGAAATAATGAAATTTTGAAAGTTTTGTTACAAGTTCTGAAATTTCCAAAACCAGAACTTTAGAAACACTTTAGAAGCAAAGCACCAGCGCCCCCAATTTTGTAAGTACATTAGAACCATTTAGAACCATGGATTGCCCATGCCTAGTGTCTGCTTCATTGTATCCAAAACACACACATACTGCTTCACGAAAAATGAGGGCCCTTCACAGCCCTATGTCCCAGAATATGAAGACAGAAAATCCCACAATATCTGCTTTGAACTGGGTTATCTGAGTCCACAAACAGATAATGTGGGATTTCCTGCTTTGATATTCCGAGATATAGGGCTATGTGGAAGGGCCTTGAGATAACATGAACTCTGCTAATGTAGACTGGGCATTCCTTATCCGAAAGACCAAAATACTTCAAAATTGTAAACATGGGTGGCTGAGATAGTGACTCCTTTGCTTTCTGATGCTTCAAATGTACACACAATTTGGGCCCTTCCACACAGCCATATAACCCAGAATACCAAGGCAGAAAATCCCACAATATCTGCTTTGAACTGAGGTATCTGAGTCCATACTGCCAAATAAGTAAAGGTAAAAGTTTCCCCTTGACATTAAGTTTAGTCATGTCTGACTTTGGGGCGGGGGGCAGGGGTGGTGCTCATCTCCATTTCTAAGCTGAAGAGTCAGTGTTGTCCATAGACACCTTCAAGGTCATGTGGCCAGAATGACTGCATGGAGCGCCGTTAACTTCCTGCCAAAATGATACCTGTTGATCTACTCACATTTGTATGTTTTCAAAGTGCTAGGTTGGCAGAAGCTGGGGCTAAAAGCAGGAGCTCACCCCTTGAACCATCAACCTTTCGGTTTAACCCACTGCACCATCGGGGCCTCCGCACTGCCATATATTCCAGCTCAAAGCAGATAAAGTGTGATTTATTCAACTGTGTAGAAGGGGCCTTTGTTGCATGCACACAATTATTTAAAATACCGTGTATAAAATTACCTTCAGAATATCAAGGCAGATAATCGACATTGGATTATCCGAGTATACACTGCCATATAATCCAGTTCAAGGCAGATAATCTAGCTGTGGAGAAGGGGTCTCAGTTGTGACTTCAGCTTTGTCACCTTATTTTCCCCCCGCATGTTTCTTGCCATCTCTGACAGTGGGCTTCAAAAGCTAGTACAATTTTATGCTTTCTAGTTGGTTAAATAAAGGAGATAAACACATAATAAATGGTGGTCAGCTGTTTATTCCATGAAAAAGTCCAACACATTTTGGCCTATATGAGAAAAAGCCATATACAGGAGCATTAAAAGTCTTTCAATACTTAGTGGTCCAATGGAGAGTATTGCCTACAATGCCAGAGAATTGAATGCCTCTGAAAGATGGCCTTTCCTCATTCAAGCCAAAATGTGTTGGTCTTTTAAATGGTTATACAGTTGACAGAATCACTGGGTTGCTGGGAGTTTTCTAGGTTGTATGGCCATGTTCCAGAAGCATTCTCTCCTGACATTTCGTCCACATCTATGGCAGGCATCCTCATAGGTTGTGAGGTCTGTTGACAACTAGGCAAGTGGGGTTTATATATCAGTAGAATGTCCAGAGTGGGAAAAAGAATCTTGTCTGTTTGAGGCAAGTGTGAATGTTGCAATTGGCCAGCTTGATTGGCACTGAATGGCCTTGCAGCTTCAAAGCCTAGCTGCTTCCTGCCTGGGGGATCCTTTGTTGGGAGGTGTTAGCTGGCCTGGATTGTTTCCTTTCTGGAATTCCCCTGTTTTCTGAGTGTTGTTCTTTATTTACTGTCCTGATTTTAGAGTTTTTACAAAATATATTTCTGCAAAAAAAAGGGGGGCATGAAAGTATATTATTTTGTACATTATTAATTAACCAAAACTACTTGGGGCACTCTCTGAAAAAGATCACTGAGTGGACTTCCAAAACATGTGCTGGACAGATGATGTACATATTACGCATCCCAAGATCAGCCTCTATTTCAGTGTAAACAGCAAGCCTCTCCTTAGTCAAAGCCTCTCCTGAGCCAAAAACATACAAACCTGGCCCTTTTGCTCTGCTGGAGGGGTTTGAACTTTCCCGTCATCTGGAACAGAAGCCATGCTGTTTCAATGTTGCTTGCAAATCTCAATCAAGCCAAATGTGAGTACCCTAAAACAAATAACAGTTGTAAGCATTCAATATATATTATATATTTTAAAACAAATTCTTCTTTTTTACCCACATGAACCTATTAAAAAGCCTTTGTACAAGGTATATAAAACATTAATGAATTCTGTGTTTATCTCCGAGTCCCATCTCTAAGAATAAACCCCATACCCTGTATATGCAAATATTGACATTCCAAATTTGGAGAGGGGATTCCAAAATCCAAGACTTTTTTTATTCCAAGCATTTCGGATATGGGATACTCACTCATAGAATCAAAGAGTTGGACAAGACCTCCTGGGCCATCCAGTCCAACCCCGTCAAGAAGAAGGAAAATCACATTCAAAGCATCCAGACAGATGCCCTTCAGCCTCTGCTTAAAAGTCTCCAAAGAAGGAGCCTCCACCACACTCCGAGGCAGAGAGTTCCACTGCTGAACAGCTCTCACAGTCAGGAAGTTCTTCCTAATGTTCAGATGGAATATCCTTTCCTGTAGTTCTATCTCACTTTTCCGTAAGGTACTTGCACCAATATCAGGTAGCAAAAGAACACAAGGAAAATACAAAAGACCAACTATTTAAAGTATTAAATTGAAAGAAATATATATATTAAAAAACTTACAACTTGAATGCACGGGCTTCCACTGATCTATGTTCTCTCCACCAAGGCAATCAGGAAAGAAGTGGTATGTATTGAACTTTGACTTTGTTATCTATTGTAGCAGTTCCATTGGACAAGGTAGGGTTTTATGGCTTTGAATGCCACCTCAGATACAATTCTGCAAAGCACTCAGCTTCAAATTTTATATGACAGGTATACTTAAAATGCAACACACCGCAATCACAGCAGTAATGGCATCACTTTTATTTATTTATTTATCGTGTCAGGAGCAACCAGACATTTGTATTACATTTTTAACAAAACAAGCAGACAAAACACAAAGTTTGCAAGCTTGGTAGTTGATTAAATGTCCTTTGACCAGTAGTTGGCCACTTGGAGTGCCTCTGGTGTTACTATAAAAAGGTCTTCCATTGTGCATGTAGCAGGGCTCAGGTTACATTGCAGCAGATGGTCTGTAGTTTGCTCTTCTCCACACTCACATGCCGTGGATTCCACTTTGTAGCCCCATTTCTGAAGGTTGGCTCTGCATCTTGTGGTGCCAGAGTGCAGTCTGTTCAGCGCCTTCCAAGTTGCCTAGTCTTCTGTGTGCCCAGGGGGGAGTCTCTCATTTGGTATCAGCCATTGATTGAGGTTCTGGGTTTGAGCCTGCCACTTTTGGACTCTCTCTTGCTGAGGTGTTCCAGCAAGCATCTCTGTAGATCTTAGAAAACTATTTCTTGATTTAAGTCATTGACATGCTGGCTGATACCCAAACAAGGCATGAGCTGGAGATGTCACTGCCTTGGTCCTTTCACTATTGGCTGCTACTTCCCGGCGGATGTCAGGTGGTGCAATACCTGTGGTGTAGGTGGTGTATTTCTCCAGTGGTTTAGGGCGCAGACACCCTGTGATAATGCGGCATGTCTCATTAAGAGCCACATCCACTGTTTTAGCGTGGTGAGATGTGTTCCACACTGGGCATGCATACTCAGCAGCAGAGTAGCATAGCGCAAGGGCAGATGTCTTCACTGTGTCTGGTTGTGATCCCCAGGTTGTGCCAGTCAGCTTTCGTATGATATTGTTTCTAGCACCCACTTTTTGCTTGAGATTCAGGCAGTGCTTCTTGTAGGTCAGAGCACGGTCCAGAGTGACTCCCAGGTATTTGGGTGCGCTGCAATGCTCCAGTGGGATTCCTTCCCAGGTAATCCTCAGAGCTCGGGATGCTTGTCTGTTCTTAAGGTGAAAGGCGCATGTGTGTGTTTTAGATGGATTAGGGATCAGCTGGTTTTCCCTGTAATAGGCAGTAAGAGCACCTAGAGCTTCGGAGAGCTTCTGTTCAACCATCTCAAAGTTCCCTGCTCGAGCAGTGATGGCACGATCATCTGCATAGATGAAACTCTCTGTCCCTTCTGGCAGTGGTCACAAATGTCACAAATTAACGAACTTTGGCCTGTGCTTCGTGCAAAGCAATAATTCCTAGCTTTTATATTTATACTTTTTTTGTCGTGTCAGGAGCAACTTGAGAAATTGCAAGTTGCTTCTGGTGTGAGAGAATTGGCTGTCTGCAAGGACGTTGCCCAGGGGACGCCTGGATGTTTTTTGATGCGTTATCATCCTTGTGGGAGACTTCTCTCATGTCCCCGCAAGGAGGAGCTGGAACTGACAGAGGGAGCTCATCTGCACTCTCCCCGGATTCGAACCTTTGACCTGTCTGTCTTCAGTCCTGCCAGCACAAAGGTTTAACCCACCGCGCTGGAATGGATCAACAACCCTGGTGGTGTTGCTTTCTATTTAATACTGCTTTATCCTTAAAATGCTGAAATTACAAATGGCTTGCTAATGGACTGCAGGTTACATCTTGTTTGTACAAATGGCTTGCTAGGACATGAACATAACAAGTTGCTTTTTACTACAGTCCTGCATATAACTCATTTTCCCAACTAGCCTCATACACACTAGAAAGCAGATAGGGTATAATTGTGACAAATTGCAATTCTTGAAGAAATTAATGAGAGGTTTGCCTTTATTTGTCTCAATTAATTTTTTAAAAATTTATTTACCGCCTTTCTCAGCCAGAGGCAACGCAAGACTCAAGTTGCGAGATGTACTACCTGGGTTTAGAAAAGGCAGAGGAACGAGAGACCAAATTGCCAATATCGGTACTGGATAATGGAGAAAGGAAGGGAGTTTCAGAAAAACATCTATTTCTCTTTTATTAACTATTCTAAAGCCTTTGACGGTGTGGATCATAATAAATTGTGATAAGTTCTTGGTGGTATGGGGATACCAAATCACCTTGTCTCTCTCCTGAGGAATCTGTACAAGGACCAAGTAGCAACAGTCAGAACTGACCATGGAACAACAGACTGGTTCAAGATTGGGAAAGGTGTACGGCAGGGTTGTATACTCTCACTCAACCTATTCAACTTTTATGCAGAACACATCATGCAATGTGCGGGGTTTGAAGAATGCAAGGCTGGGGTGAAAATTGCTGGAAGAAACATTAACAACCTCAGATATGCAGATGACACCACTCTGATGGCCGAAAGCGAGGAGGAGCTGAGGAGCCTTCTAATCAAGGTGAAAGAAGAAAGCGCAAAAGCCGGGTTGCAGCTAAACATAAAAAAATCCAAGATTATGGCAACAAGAATGATTGACAACTGGGAAATAGAGGGAGAAAACGTGGAGGCAGTGACAGACTTTGTATTTCTAGGTGCAAAGATTACTGCAGACGGAGACTGCAGCCAGGAAATCAGGAGACGCTTACTTCTTGGGAGGAGAGCAATGACCAATCTTGATAAAATAGTGAAGAGTAGAGACATCACACTGGCAACAAGATCCGCATAGTCAAAGCAATGGCATTCCCCATAGTCAGTGAGAGCTGGACCATAAGAAGGCTGAGCGAAGGAAGATAGATGCTTTTGAACTGTGGTGCTGGAGGAAAGTTCTGAGAGTGCCTTGGACAGCGAGAAGATCCAACCAGTCCATACTTCAGGAAATAAAGCCCTGCTCATTGGAGGGAAGGATAGTAGAGGCCAAGATGAAGTACTTTGGCCACATCATGAGAAGAAAGAAAGCTTAGAGAAGACAATGATGCTGGGGAAAATGGAAGGAAAAAGGAAGAGGGGCCGACCAAGGGCAAGATGGATGGATGGCATCCTTGAAGTGACTGGATTGACCTTGAAGGAGCTGGAGGTGGTGACGGCCGACAAGGAGCTCTGGCGTGGACTGGTCCATGAGGTCACGAAGAGACGGAAACGACTGAACGAATGAACAACAAGAAGCATGGGTGTACACTAGCCATAAGAAGCAGTTCAAACTATAAAATTATGAAGTCCGAAACTAAATTGATAAAAAGGGCATATCAACAATTGCTGACATGGGCGACAGAAACGGAACAGGTCAAACAAAATATGATCCAGTGGTCGAGGGATGTAGGCAGACCGATAAATATGTCAGAGTGGGAAGAGATCTGGCGTCAGAAAATTAAATACACATATTCAACCGAGATGAAAGAAAACTGGTATAAGTCTTTTTACAGATGGTATTACACACCAGATAAAATATCCAAGTTTAGCAAAGGAAAAGTTAAAAATACATGCTGGAAATGTGGGAAACATAGAGGAAACTACATCCATACATGGTGGAAATGTAGGAAGATAAAAACGTTCTGGCAAGAAGTCAACAAAATAATGGAGGAAATACTAGGGGAGAAAATAAAACTCAAACCAGAAGCAATGTTACTGGGAATAACAGACCCCCTCCAAGACAAGAACTCAGACAAATTGTTCTTCTATTTTAGTACGGCTGCCAGATCAGTGTTAGCTAAGGTGTGGAAATCTACAGAAATTCCCACAACAGATCAATGGCTGCTAAAAACATGGGATATAATGAACATGGATATCTTAACTCACAAAATATCTCAGAATATACCTAAGCCACCTAAAACTAATTGGGAAAAATTTATAGAATATATTAAAAAATCTAACAACGAAGTTAATATCAGTACTGAATAGCGAAAATTCTCAAGGGAACGACGTTAACTAACCGACGTATGACAAACAAATAGAATATGGGACAAGATATTGCCCTTTATGAAGATAGCTGTCCAGATCACCCTGGAAGTACTTTTAATGTCACTAGGGGTCGCACACAGGGTGGTGGGTGTAGAAGGAACCAGGATTCACAATTTCCACCCTCCCCCCCCCAAAAAAAGTTTAAAGCAATATGTTACAGCCCCCATAAAGAACCAGTGAACCCAAACCCCTCCCTTCCTGTATACCCGATTCTCCTTTCCCCTTACCTCTCCATTGCCCACGACCATTCCCTGTTAGAATGGGGTGGAGGGTGAAAGATGAAGAAGCAGAGAAATATATACAAAAACAGAAACAATATATAAGTTGCACCAAGCAGATAAATATTAAAAATAAGAAAAGGAAGAGAAGACTACATCCCTCTGGAATCGTAAGAGGGTAAACTTGGGGAAGTAACCAAATGGAAAAGCTAGACCCAGTCTAGGGGGGGGAAACAGGGGGAATACTCTAAGGTAGGGAAGGTACACACACATGCCAACACGATACCATGTACGAAAACCCTGTTACCTTCTTTGTTGTTTTGTTTGTCTTGTCTGACATTACTATATGTGTTTTGTTGTATGTTATTATTAATAAAAAAATAATTTAGAGAAGCAGTTCAAACTGCATTGTTTGGCAGTGTAGATCCAGCCTGAGTTGCTTTTTAAGGCGCTCAATTGGAAGAGAGACAAGGGTTCCTACTTGGCTGAAGGGGGTTGGATTAGATGGCCTCTGGGGTCTCTTTTGGGCATAAAAGGCCACTAATCAAAGTGCTACTGAAGAACTCAATGGGGCTGAATCCTCCTCCCAATAGAGCCTGCGCCCACTTCTCAAACACTGGGGTTTCCTCACCTGCAAGACTTGGTGGCTCTCCTTCTTTTTCTCTCCCGTTGCCTTTGCTGGGGACGCCTCTGCTTCCTGGGCTGCCCCCCCAAACTGTATCCGTGCGATCTAGGAGGAAGCAAACAAAAGCCCGGCCCCATTACATAACATGACCTCCAAAAAGGCGGAGCCTTCGCCATGCCTGGAGGCCCCATGCCTTTCAGAGGGAGATTTTGCTCCTTTTGTGCCTGTGGTTTCAAGCTCCCTACTGTCTTCTGCCGCACCCGCAAAGCAAAGAAAACTCACAGCTGGCTCCCTCCACAGCTCCTGGCATGCCTTGGTGATCGGTCTCCCATCCAAATACTATCCAGGGCTGGCCCTGCTTAGCATCCAGGATCAGACCCCTATCTGGTTCTTATGGCGACCCCATTAGGCAAGGAATACTCAAGATAGCCTTCCTTCACAGCATTTGATGTTCCTTGGTGGTCTCTCACATCCAAATACTATCCAGGGCTGGCCCTGCTTAGCATCCAGGATCAGACCCCTATTTGGTTCTTATGGCGACCCAGTTAGGCAAGGAATACTCAAAGATAGCCTTCCTTCACAGCATTTGATGTTCCTTGGTGGTCTCTCACATCCAAATACTATCCAGGGCTGGCCCTGCTTAGCATCCAGGATCAGACCCCTATTTGGTTCTTATGGCGACCCAGTTAGGCAAGGAATACTCAAAGATAGCCTTCCTTCACAGCATTTGATGTTCCTTGGTGGTCTCTCACATCCAAATACTATCCAGGGCTGGCCCTGCTTAGCATCCAGGATCAGACCCCTATCTGGTTCTTATGGCGACCCCATTAGGCAAGGAATACTCAGAGATAGCCTTCCTTCACAGCATTTGATGTTTCTTGGTGGTCTCTCACATCCAAATACTATCCAGGGCTGGCCCTGCTTAGCATCCAGGATCAGACCCCTATCTGGTTCTTATGGCGACCCCATTAGGCAAGGAATACTCAAGATAGCCTTCCTTCACAGCATTTGATGTTCCTTGGTGGTCTCTCACATCCAAATACTATCCAGGGCTGGCCCTGCTTAGCATCCAGGATCAGACCCCTATTTGGTTCTTATGGCGACCCAGTTAGGCAAGGAATACGCAAAGATAGCCTTCCTTCACAGCATTTGATGTTCCTTGGTGGTCTCTCACATCCAAATACTATCCAGGGCTGGCCCTGCTTAGCATCCAGGATCAGACCCCTATTTGGTTCTTATGGCGACCCAGTTAGGCAAGGAATACTCAAAGATAGCCTTCCTTCACAGCATTTGATGTTCCTTGGTGGTCTCTCACATCCAAATACTATCCAGGGCTGGCCCTGCTTAGCATCCAGGATCAGACCCCTATCTGGTTCTTATGGCGACCCCATTAGGCAAGGAATACTCAAAGATAGCCTTCCTTCACAGCATTTGATGTTCCTTGGTGGTCTCTCACATCCAAATACTATCCAGGGCTGGCCCTGCTTAGCATCCAGGATCAGACCCCTATCTGGTTCTTATGGCGACCCCATTAGGCAAGGAATACTCAAAGATAGCCTTCCTTCACAGCATTTGATGTTCCTTGGTGGTCTCTCCCATCCAAATACTATCCAGGGCTGGCCCTGCTTAGCATCCAGGATCAGACCCCTATCTGGTTCTTATGGCGACCCCATTAGGCAAGGAATACTCAAAGATAGCCTTCCTTCACGGCACTTGGTGTTCCTTGGTGGTCTTTCCTATCCAAATACTATCCAAGCCTGACCCTGCTTAGCTTCTAGGACCAGACCCCAATGTGGTTCTTATGGAAACCCTGAAATAATAATAATAATAATAATAATAATAATAATAATAATAATAATAATAAAACTTTATTTATACCCCGTCACCATCTCCCCAAGGGACTCGGAGTGACTTACATGAGACCAAGCCCAACAACACCTCAATAAAAACAACAATAAGAAAAATAAACAATACAATTAGTATAACTCACACATAGACAACAGAACACAAGAATTTAAAAACCTATGAAAGGCGAGGAATACTAAAAAAAATAGCTCACCACCTTCACAGTACTTGATCTTTGGTGGTCTCCCATCCAAATACTATCCAGAACTGACCCTGCTTAGCATCCAGGATCAGACCCCCATCTAGTTCTTATGGTGACCCCATTAGGCAAGGAATACTCAAAGATAGCCTTCCTTTACAGCACTTGATGTTCCTTGGTGGTCTCTCCCATCCAAATACTATCCAGGCCTGCCCCTGCTTAGCTTCTAGGACCAGACCCCAAAAGGCAAGGAATATTAAAAGATAACTCCCTTCACAGTACTTGACGACCTTTGGTGGTCTCCCATCTAAATACTATCCAGACCTGGCCCTGCTTAGCTTTCAAGATCAGAAACCAACCCCCCACCTTGTTCTTATGGTGACCACATTAGGCAAGATGACTTTGCAAAGGTCTCCCTCTAGAGCATTTGCTGTTCCTTGGTGGTCTTCCATACAAATGCTATCTAGGGCTGGCCGTGCTTAGCTTCCAGGATCAGACCCCTATCTGGTTCTTAAAGCAACCCCATAAGGCAACGAATACTAAAAGATAGCCTCCCTTCAAGTACTTGTTATTCCTTGCTGCCCTCCCATCCAAATACCATCTAGGGCTGGCCCTGCTTAGCTTCTAAGATCAGACCCCTGTCTGGTTCATAGAGTGACCCCAAAGGCAACGAATACTAAAAGATAGCCTCCCTTCACAGTACTTGACATTCCTTGGTGGTCTCCCATCCAAATACTATCCAGGGCTGGCCCTGCTTAGCTTACAAAATCAGTGCTCCCCCCTGCCCCCAATCTGGTTCTTATGGTGACCTCATTAGGCAACAAAGATTCAAATTAGCCTTGCTTCACAGTACTTCATGTTCCTTGGAGGTCTCCCATCCAAATGTTATCCAGGGAGTGCGGAACTGGTTTTTATATTGATTTCAATGTATATGTTGTGTTAACAGTTTATGCCTATGTTTTTGTTTCATATTGTATGCTCTTGTATTATTTTGCATATGTGGAAACCGCTCTTAGTCCCCTAGGGGAGATAGGGCAGTATATAAATAATGTTTTTAGTATTATTATTATCCAGGGCTGGTCTGCTTAGCTTCCAGGATCATATCGCGCATCTGATTCTTATCATGACAACGCAGGCAAGGGATATTGGAAGGTGACTTTGCGAAGGCCTCCTTCAACAGTTCCTGACATTCCTTGGTGGTCTCCCATCCAAATGCTATCCAGGGTTGGCCCTGCTTAGCTTCCAAGATCAGATCCTGCATCTGGTTCTTATTGTGACCCTGCAGGCAAGGGATATTGGAAGGTAGCTTTGCGAAGGCCTCCTTCAGCAGTTGCTGACTTTTCTTGGGGATCTCCCATCCGAATGCTATCAAGTACTCACCATGCTCAGCTTCCAAGATTAGACTACATCTAGTTCTTAAGGCGACCCCACAAAGCAAGGAATACTTAAAGGTGGCTTTGCCAAGGCCTCTTTCTACATTCCTTGACATTATTTGGTAGTCTTCCATCCAAATGTTTTCCAGGGCTGATTCTGATTAGCTTCCAAGATCAGAACCATCTGGTTCTTGCATACTTGCTTTGAGGAAAGGCCCACTCTCTGCATGGAAAATGTGTGTCACCTGTCAATTTATGGAGATCCTAATGTGTTTCATAGTGCCCTTCCACACTGCCGCTTTATCCCAGGATGTGATTCCAGATTATCTGTTTAACCCTGGAAGCGGGGACTCATATATTCCAGTTTAAAGCAGATAATCTGGGATCAGATCCTGGGATAAAGGACAGTGTGGAAGGGCCCATAGGGTTTTCTTAGGCAAGGAATAAACAATTTGCCAGTTCCGTCCTTTGAAATTCAGCCAACGGTACCGTGCATTCATCAGTGGTTTCCCATCCAAGTACTAACCAGGACTGACCCGGCTTAACTTCCAATGCTAGACGGATTCTAGGAATTACAATTACTTAGGGACATGCCTGCTATGGCTAAAAGAAAATATAATGGCAGGAAAACTATTCCTACTGAGGAGTGGACTTCTGATCGCAAGTCACTAATGCAAACATTGTGGCAGCAATGCCACACCTTTTTCCCTCCTGCGTGCGCATAAACAAAGACAAAGGGTGCAGCTTGAAACAAAGCTTTCAAAAAGAGGAGAAAGGTTTTTGCCCTTCCTATAAGCTCTGTAGCATGAAGCAGATGTATATTTACCAGGAAAGAAATCGTGTTTTCAGTTGAACTTCCTCCTTAGAAAGTTTTCAAAGAGTTTTTTACCTTCTAGGCCAAGAAAAGGTTTACCTGCCAGATTGGTACCAAAAAAGTATCGTGTTGCCAATGAGCAGATAGTCCAGCTTTTCTCAACCTGGGAGTTGGAACCCCTGGGGGGTGGGGTGGTCGTGAGGGGATGTCAGAGGGGTCACCAAAGACCATGGGAAACACATATTTCTAATGGTCTTGGGAACACAGCCCTCTCTGGAGGTAGGTGAACTACATCTCCTCTAAATCACTGTCAATTTTTCCCAAATCCCTCTAATATTTTATGTTGGTCATGGGGGTTCTGTGTGGGAAATTTGGCCCAATTCTATCATTGTTGGGGCTCTTTGATTGTAGGTGAACTATAAATCCCAGCAACTACAACTCCAAATGTCAAGATTCTATTTTCCCCAAACTCCACCAGTGTTCACATTTGGGCATATTGAGTCTTCGTGTAGAGTTTGGTCCAGACCCATTATTGTTTGAGTCCACAGTGATCTCTGGATGTAGGTGAACTACAACTCCAAAACCAAAGGACACTGCCCACCAAACCCTTCCAGTATTTTCTATTGGTCGTGGGAGAACTGTGTGCCAAGTTTGGTTCAATTCCATCGTTGGTGAGGTTCAGAAGGCTCTTTGATTGTAGGTGAACTATAAATCCCAGCAACTACAACTCCCAAATGACAAAATCATTTTTTTAGTGAAGGACATACATTGAGTTGTTAGGTGTCTTGTGTCCAAATTTGGTGTCAATTCGTCCAGTGGTTTTTGGGTTCTGTTAATCCCACAAACGAACATTACATTTTTATTTATATAGATTTATACCCTGTCCTTCTCAACCTCCAAAGAG